ACCGATCGGTGGCGATTGAGTCAACAACATTTGGCCAAAATTGCCCCGACTACTGCTTGGCATTTTAACCCAATTCTCTGGCAATTTTAATTGCCAACGTACAGACAGTTGCCCAGTTAACAGTTTTCAATTTTATTAATGAAGTCGTAAAGTTGCCAAAGTTTATCACTCGGCTGCTGCGATTTTGTGCAGCTGCTGCTGGCCAGGTTCGCCCCGATAAAGCCAGATAGGCCCCCCCGCCTCCTTTTTCTCTTCCATTTTCTGATTCGCTTGTCTGTCTGCCTAATTTTGATGTCATTAATTTTGACCATCTCCATTTCCATTTCCATTCCGCGTTTGCAGTTTTTTGGCCCGGTTTTTATTTGGTTTTTGGCCCAAACACGCAATCCTCCGAAGAAAGAGAAGAGGGAAAAGAAAGTGAGGGGGATAGATGCATAGTTAGATCGATCGGTTGGGGTTTCTCCTCATCAGCATGGTTTTGGCCAAGAATCGAGCGTGATTAAAGCAGGCAGAGATCTTAAATCCGTCCCCAAAATTAAAAAAAAAAAAATTAAGTATTTTTGAAGACTTGGAAATTAATGTTGGATGCTAACCCAACAATATTTCTAAAGACATAGTTCTATTATTTTAGTAGTAAATATTGTAAAATATTTTTGAGGTAAATTGTTTCTGTGTAAAAGAATTTATTGAAATTTTTTAGCAGTGCACCTGAAGAATTTTCCGGCTTCTGTGGCGCTTCCGCCTGCACCGCCCCCTCATTATCACCTGCTTCCGCTCATGAATATGCAGGATTAGCTCATTATCATCCGTCCGATGCTTGGATTGGAGGCTGGTTGCCGTTAGAAGTGGGCTCGGGCTCTCTGCGTGTGTGATTTACATTATAATAATTAGTTTATGACAAAGGCACGCGCTACTTTGACTTTCCCTCCCGTGCTTTTTTCTCCAATTTTCCCCCCCACTTTACCTTGGCTTTTCACTCAGCTCTCATTCTCGTTTCCGTCTTGGTCCTGGCCATCAAAATTGCAAATAGAAAGCAATTTCCACACTTATTACGGCCACGTGTGTGTGTGTGTGTGTGTTTGTCTATGGGGGGAAAAGCGAAGGGGTTTTGCCATATATCCGTGTGTCTCCTACGATTTTGGGTAATGAGCTTCCGCAAGCTTCCACTTCAGCCTTTACACAGGCAAAAGGCATTGAAATTATGAGTTAAGGTTTTTTTAGGAAAAATAATAATTCAATTATAAATCACCCCAGGGGTTGCTTGAATATTGGCTTCTTAATGTTGCCTGGGCACACCTTTTTTGGTAGAAAATTCGCAATGTGACCTTGCTGGCTATTGATTTTTACGATTTTATTATAGATTTGTTATTCTTAAATCATAGTTGCCAAAAATGTTTGATATATTTTTTTCTTGTGTAACCACTTCTTCCTTTGTCTCTCTTTAAACTCCTTTTGCTACCAGCTTTTCCCTGCAGCTGGCTTAGAAAACTTGCTAACTTTGCTGAATTTCTGCCTCTGAGCTAGAGTTTTGCCTCGAGTGCAAAGCAGAAAGAGATGGGCGTCGCCGAAGGGGGCGGTGGGAGAGGGAGCAGAGGAGAGGGGAAAAAGTGGGTGGAGGGGGGGCGTTGTTGGCTGCCCGCTGCTCAATTTCAGACACACACGAAATTACTTTACAACTCGTGGCTGAGAGTCGCACGAAGCCTTGTGGCCTCATTAGAACCCCTCTGGAGAAATGGAGAAATGGAGAAAAGGGGGCGGGAGAAGGGGCGTAACAGCAGGTGACTAGTTTCCAGCTACTTAACCATTCTGGCCTGCATTCTGCGCTGGACTGAAATATTTATGAACCATCTTGGGGGCAGAAGGGCACATCAAATGCAGCGCAAAGTGAGACTCGAAGTTTTTAGTTGCAGTCGAAATACCCTTTTGACTTTGGGGGCTTACCATTTACTTACCAAAACAAAACTCAATTAAATATTAAAATGTTAATATTAATATTTACAACCTTAAATAAGTTAAGTGAATTCTGGAAAAGTTGCATATAGTTTTATTAAAATGCGTAAACTTTGCCTTTCCATTAAGTTTCAGGTGAGAAACTTTTCGAAATTCCGTTGGCTGGCATTGAAATAGTTCAGTGGATAAACTGATTAAAGTCAAAGTTTGACTTGCTAACATTTAATTTGTTTATCAGGTTATCTTCTTCCAATAAAGGATGTTATTTTGATGCCAGTTACCTTTAGTTAGCCACTTTTTAGCCAGGGTATTTGCATTGCGAGACTTTGACCCGTCGAGGCTGTGCCTCAAAAAGTGGCTACACAGAGTCTTTGTGGTTGTCATTTCAATTAGCAATGGACTCGGGTCCGCCCGACTTTGTTTCTATGACTGTTTCGGGGTCTGTTTCTGTTGCTGGTTTTTTGAGCCCCTGTGGGCGTGAAATGAGTTGGCAAAACAATAAAGAACAAACAGATATGGCAATGTGTGGATGTGGATGTGGATGTGTGTAATTTGTATAATTTAAGTGAGCATTAGCATTTGCAGAGATTTCTTTGTTGTTGAGGTAAAGCATTCTGCATTGGCATTAATGAGTGGCTCATTAATCACTCGCGGCAATTGGTACCGAATGGAATGAATAAATAAGCGAATGTGAATGAATAACTCGGTGACTGACTGACTGACTGACTGGTTGGTTGTTTGACTGATGGACCAAACAGGCAATAGTTGTGCCAAAAACGAGGTAAACAAAACGAGACTCGCCGAAAAATATTGCATGGGAGAATCGCGATCTTTTTGGGGAGACTCCCCCGCGGGCTCACATGGCGTATGATTAATTTTTCACAATCATTTTCCATTATGCAAAAAGTCGCGGAGGTGGCTTAGATGCATCCAAAGGGGTCTCTTTCTCTCCCATTTTTTATTTGCGTGCCATGGCAGGAGTTTGTTTTTCGGTTTTCGGTTTCCGTTAACTGTTGCACATTTTGCCTTGATGATGATAATTAATGAGCCAGCGGTGCGTATACGTGATGTCGTAACAGGCCAAACAAAATCGAAATCCGACGAAAACCAAGTAAATAAATTACATAAGCGTTGTGTTTGCGTGGGCCTGGCAAAAATAAGGATCGCAAAATTATATTTTTGAGTCTGGAAAATCTTTCGATAGAAAAGTGTGACCATATTTCGTAGAATAAATTAGAATAACCATTTTACACTTTCAAAATATTTGTTATTTTTCAATATACATACATTTTCTTTCCCTGTGAATAAATATTCATACTTCCCATTTCTGCCCCATCATCCCCGCCTTGAAAGTTATTTAAGATTAATTAATAAACTCTCCCCCGGCCGCATTTGCGTGCTTACAGATTATGTTAAACCAAGTGTATGCCGAAAAAAAAACACGAAGGAAATATGTTTGCCAACAATCAACTTAAACGCTGCCTTGCCACGCCCACCGCCCCCTGCCTCCTTTGATTTTCCACTGCTCTTTTCAATATGTGAAAAGCGAGTTTCCATCCCCCCAGCCTCCTAAAAAAGTTACACAAACTCAATTTTGTAAAAGCGAAATTTGTCTCCCTTTTTTTGGGCCGTATATATAATGTAATTTTGAAGATGTTTTCACATTTTGCGCAAAATATTTACACAATTTTCTCCTCCTCCTTTTTTTTTTGATTTTCCTTTTTCCACACATTTGAAAGGGGATTAAAAGGGGCGTAATGGGGCAGTGGATGTTTAGGAGGCACCACCGCGTTGGACTGAGCTGAATTTGCAATTATCACAGCTAACTGAACCCGACTTGTCACCACATCCCCATTCCTACGCCGCCGTCCACTGGATGATTAATGGTCGTGAACATGACATCGAGTTTGTCTCGAATCTGTTTTGTTTCTGCGGCCGTAGTTGTGTTTCTGTGTCTGTTTCTCCATCTGAATCTCAATCGGAATCGGAATCGAAATCGCCATCCTAATGTTGGTTTAGAGCATGGCTGCTAGGTGCACTGCTAGAAAAAAGAAAGAAGATTAAGGGAAAAACAAAATATGTTCGAAAAGTAATCACTTAAGTGGCACTGACGGTATTTTGCGTATTTAATAAAGTTGGTCACACTATACTATTAAATAAAAGTGCAGTGTGACCATGCTAAGCGCTTTCCTGGCAATTTGGCAATTAGAAAACTAAAGGCGCGGCTCTGTTTCTCTCTGTGTACTCCTTGGGCCTGACAGTTGTCTCTCTAATGCCGTTCTGGTGGTTCTATTGAGTCTGTCGAGTGGCTGAGTGCCGGAGTACGTGGCCCAGTGTGGGAGTTGCGCTGCTGGCTTTCTGGCCATGGCCACTTGGCAAGTAACCCACACGATGCCAGAATGAGTCTTGGCCAGAATTGGCGGCTTTCTGGCTTTGATGATGCCTCCTCCCCTTTCCTCACCCTTTCCGCTGACTTCCAGTCGCAGTCCCAGTCCCACGCCGCAGAAATTGGCGGTAATCGCGAACAGAGAGACATGACGGCCATGGCCAAATCCTGTTTGTGCTGCCGTTTCGGCCAACTTCATCTGCATATGGCCCACAATTGCTGGCAATTAACTCACTCGTCCAACGCCACATAATTGGTATTGCTTAGCGGGGGGAATGACGTCACCCAAAATATTGAATGTCAACTACTTTTTAGCTCAGATTTTATTACAAATTGTAAAATAGAAAAAAGAAATGTTAAACCTTTAAATTATTACGCTATGGCGAATACCTCGACTATTAGATACCCGTTACTCAGCCAAAAGGAAGTACGAAAGAGATAGGGACATGCATGCAGTAAAGCAACTGCTTGCACTGCTTGAATTTCATTATTAGCTTTGCTCATAACTTTTAAATGGATGGTCCGATTTGAAAAATTTCTTCTACATTTCGTTAGGTACTTGGGTTCTCTACGAGTTTACCTATAAAAGTTTATACAAATTTTGCTTTTAATTCCCAAATTTCATACTAATTTTAGTCTACATATTTTTCCTCACCCATTCCAGATGAACACAAACTGAACTCCGGCTCATGGGAGGACACCTTGGACGAGCCGCACCACCACCAAGCGCACCACTCGCACCACCATCAGCACCTCCACCCGCACCATCAGCAGCACCACTCGCACCTCAGTCAGCGGCTCCACCAGCAGCAGCAGCAGCAGACCTCGTTCATTGGATCTTCGCCGTCCAGTGCGAGCATCACCACCGCCCAGCTGCATAGTGCGTTTAGCCGGAGGATCGCCGAGCAGCGGGAGCGGGATCAGCGGGATCAGAGGGATCAGGTCACAATTGCCGGCGGAAGCTTCAGCGCCAACGGTGGCCAGGCTGCCGTTGGTGTCGTTGGCGTTGGCAGCAGCTGCAGCGAGCGGGACACCAAATCGCCCTGCCGCGACAGGGATAGGAATCTCCTCGAGGGGATCTCTAAGGGCCAGGAGGAGCAGGATCAGCAGGATCAGCAGGAGCAGCAGGGAGTAGAATCCCAGCAGCAGCAGCAGCAGCAGCAGGAGGAGGAGGTTCTTACCGAGGAGGAGCAGACCAGCAGCAGCGTGAGTTCGCTAAGTGCCGGCAATCAACGCAATTCGCAATTGCGTTCAACCTTCAACAAGGCCAAGCAGCATTTGTCGTTTGACAAATGGCGCACGGCCGCCACCGGAAGCGCAACAGGTTCCGCATCCGCATCCGCATCCCTATCCACTGAGAATAGCAACGCCGCCAGCAACATGATTATGCGCAGAGCCAGTGCCTGCACAATGCCATCGACTGGTGGAGGAGGTGGAGGAGGATCGGGAGGTGGTTCCTCCGCCCAAAGGGAGGAGGCCACCACGCCGGGCGAATCCCCGGGAGGACGACTGTCCCGCTGGTTCTCGATCAGGCGCGGCTCCTCGCACCAGTACGATGTCGGAGGACGCGATGGCCGCCACTCGACGGCCTCCAGCTTCGATACCCCCGACTCGGGATCGGGCAACTCGCCGGGACAGGGAAAGAATAGCTCGGCCATCGGTGGAGCCGGTGTAGCCGGTGGATCCAGTGGATCCAGTGGATCCGGTGGAGTGGCCCAAGGAGCAGCGCTGGACGCCGCCTCGCCACAGAAATTGGCCAATTTGGGAGCCAGCAAAATGATGCCCGGAGTGCCAGAGGTGAGATATTTTTTAAACTACTAAACTAAAATTAAATTTTTAAATATAATTACAAATTTATAATTTTAAAATCTAAACAAAATTAAATGTTTTTTTGTTATAATACCTACTAGCTAAGAAACATTTTGAATTGGGCATTTTTTTTGTAAACAGAAAAATCCACAAGGTACTTTTTAATTTTAAAACGTAAATATTTTAAGTTTTTTAATAGATCCTAACATTTTTATTAATTTTGCGCCACTGTCCTCTCTTCTTCTTCTCAATCAAGTGAAGTTGGCTGCACTCCTTCGATATATTTATCGTGTTATCGATCCTTAAAACATCCTTAAAAGCAATGTACTCACTAGATTACGTTATATCATGTGCCTTTACATTTCATAACAATATGTTTACACTTAACTCTATTAATTATTAACATTTTATTATATTTATTTCTAATTTAATCCTTTATTTTTTGCAGTCGGAGGATGACGAGGCGACCGCCAATCGTTTCGACATGGACCTAATGATGACGCCGGGCAGTCGGGCCAATGGAACCGCTCGCACCGCCCAAAATCGGCTAATTGTGCCCATGTTGCCCCCCGCCCCCGCCGGATTGTCACAGCAGCAGCTAAAGAGGCGCCACATTGTGGCGGCCATCGTGCACAGTGAGAACTCGTATGTGGCCACCCTGCAGCGACTAGTCAATGTGAGTACAGTGCCCCCTCGATAGGTTATGAAATCGGAATATGTAGATCACTGCATGCTGCGTAGATAAAGGTCCCCAACTAACAAAGTAATTATAAATATAAATTAAAGCCTTTCAACTTTCATTTTAACCTTTAACTATTAACTATATCATTTAATTAAGTTTCGAATATGGGACATTTAAGGTTAGGATTTAGTTATGATGGGAAAACCCATTTCCAGTTGCAATTATCTGTTGGTTATAACATTCTTCGAGCTGGAGGGCTTAGTCCTCCTCCAAGTCCTCAAGCAACTCCTGGAGATCTTCGAAATCAGCCAGTTGCAGTTCCGAATCCTCGTCCTCCTCCGTTGTTTTCTTACCGGTTTCCGTTTCCCCGCCCGCCAAACGATCTGAATCCGATTCTGAATCCGGGCCAAACTTGAGTTCAAAGGGAAAAATAAGGCGGGGCACCTCGAAGTTGTGCAAATGGTAGTCCCAGTTGACCTGATTCTCCGGTGGAACCGGTTCCACCTGGCTGGCCTGGGGATTCTGGTCGAGAGCAGCCTGCGGCAGCTTGCAGGGATGCCCCTCCAGTTGGTGGTACAAGTAGAAGGTGTGTCCCGCCGTCTCCTCCTTGTAGGCATCCTGTTCGCCAATCATTTTGGTGGCCACCTCAGGCGTTAGGGTCTTTCCATCGACCAGTACGTTTATTTCCATGGGCACCAGCATGTACGTTTCCCCAGTGCGTTCGTCGGTTTGGATCTTGCCAAACTGCTCGGCCTCCTTGCTGGAGATCAAATCCAACTTCACCGATCTCTCGCGTTGCCAGCGAGCGATCTCCGTGCCCTCGGCCCGGTTGAATTTGTCCGCCTCCGAGGATCCGGTGGCCACTCCCTGCGGCGTCACCTCGAACGTGTGCAGCTGCGGGGGCTTTAGTTGAACGAAGGCCTTCGTCTTGCCGGCCTCCACATAGACCTGGATGTTCTCCAAAGCCTTGGCGATGGCCTCACCCATCGATGGTTCCTTGGGATCCTTAGAATCCCGATCATCCTGATGTTGATCCTCCTTGATCTGCTCCTTCAGCAGCTGCTGGAGCTTCTCCATCTGCTCCTTGGTCAGGTTGAGATCCTTCAGGCTCAACATATTTGATTATAATATATATATAGGTTGTAGGAATGTTTTTTTCTGGCTGGTGGATAGGATTTTGGGTATCGTTTGGCTATGATGTGGATGAAATTTACAGTGGTGGCAACTAGATGAGGTGAAATGGAGCTGGAAAAGCAAGAATACTAGATAATATTATATTATATTTACCTTATAAACTATTATCCAATCTATTATCTTGTAGCTTACATAATAACCCCCTGCATGCCATTCGTAGTTAGACAACCTTAGTTACCCCATTTAACCACCGACTAATCTTAATATCATCTCAAATCATTTGATCTCTTTACATGCCATCCTCTTCCCATAACTGCCATAAATGCCGATTTCACCGTCATAAAAATAAACCAACTAACTTACTAATCACACTCACTTACTCGCCCACTAACCAATTTACACACACACACACGTCCAATTTGAACCCAAAATCATATTTCTCACCCACAAGTAGTTACAAAATTAGAAGAAAACAAACAAAACAAGTAAAAATACTCGTAAACAAAAAAAAAACAGATTAAATCTAAGCCAAAAACTGTGAGAAACCAATAGAAAATCCGGCGCAAAAGAGCTTGGTAATCATATGAATAGAAAAGGTGTTGCACCAATCCTAAAAAACATAAGTAATTATAAAAAAAATTATTAAATAGGTAAAATTTACAACTTAAATTCACTTTTTGGAATAATTTTAATTTTCAATAAATCAAATAAGTGGAGCATTTGAAGATACCTTACAAAGTGTATGGAAAATATAACCATCAAACTGAAGAGTTCACTTAAATAAATATATTAAACTGATTTATTTACACAAGATGTAAACTAGTTGGAAGAGAATGTAAAATAAAATTATTTTACCCAAAGAATTCGCGCAAGCTTAATTTAATTTTAAATATATAAAATAAGTGAAGAACTTACAGAAATTTACACTACTTTTATTACTAACAAAAGATTGGTGTAGCTCCTTAAAAAAACCCGGGTTTTGAAACCGAACTAACCACCTTTGTGCCCTTGTTCTCACCCCGCAGGATTACAAGAAACCGCTGGAGGAGTGCAGTCCGCCGGTACTGAATCCTGTGAAGATAGCCACCCTGTTCCACTGCCTGCCGGACATCCTGCACTCGCACAAGCTGTTCCGCATCTCGTTGGCCGAGTGCGTCCGCAACTGGGATCGCGACGAGAAGATCGGCGACTGCTTCGTGAGCGCCTTCGGGAAGCCGCAGCTGCTGGAGATCTACTCGGGCTTCATCAACAACTTCTCGGCGGCCATGGAGCTGGCCAAGATGGAGGAGAAGCGCAAGTCGGCGCTGGCCGACTTCTTCAAGGTCAAGCAGATCAGTGCCCACGATCGGCTGTCGTTCTTCGGACTGATGGTGAAGCCCGTGCAGCGCTTCCCCCAGTTCATCCTGTTCCTGCAGGACCTGCTCAAGTACACGCCGCAGGGCCACCACGATCGCATGTCCCTGCAGTTGGCCCTGTCGCAGCTGGAGCTCCTGGCGGAGCTGCTCAACGAGAGCAAGCGGGAGGCGGAGCAGTACCAGGCCTTCAAGGAGATGCTCGGCCACATCTCGGGCACCTTCAATGCCCGATCCCTGAGCCTGAGCAGCATGAGCGTGAGCGACTCCGCCGGCGGCCATCGGCCGAGGTACTTGCTCCGCGAGGACAACGTCACCCACATGGAGTTCAACCAGGCCGGCTTCATTGTCAAGTGCAAGCAGCGCCGGCTGCTCCTGCTAAACGACAAGGTCATCTGCGTGTCGGTGGCGCCCAAGCAGTCGCACGACTTCGGGGCCACCGAGAAGCTCACCTTCAAGTGGATGTTCCCGGTCAACGATGTGGAGATCGTGGACAACAGCACATCGGCCACGCTCTCGAGGATTCTCACGGCGGGTAAGCAAAACAAATGCAATATAAGATCACTTCAACTGAAGAATTCGCGTAAATAGAGCATATGAACTGTGTGAGGTGAAATGGAGTGCTTAGAAAATCCAATGGTTTACCAAGTGATTGGGTTTAATTTATGAAAAGTTTAACCATCTGAACTGAAGAATTCGCATAAATAATAGTAAACTTTTTGCATCCTGTAAAAAATGGATATCAATAAATATATACTTTATTTTACACTTATTTATTTACACAAGATGTAAACAAGTTGGAAGAGTATGTAAAATCATTTGACCTACGAATTTTCTAGGTAACAAAAATTAGTTAGAAAATCCAAATAAAAATCTAAAATAAAATCTAACATTATATGTATTATTTGCAGGTCTCAATCGCGGCGGCAGCTTGAAGTCCAACGGCAGCAGCGGAGCCAACGGCAGTCCCTATGCCAACAGCACTCTGCCGGGACACGGAGGAGCCGGCGGTGGCTTCTCTGGCTTCGGGGATCCGCACAGCTCGCCGGCCGCCCAGCTGACCAACGGGGCCGACAACCTCTGCAGCGAGATGAGCACTCTGATGTACGACTACGAGGTCATCTCCCGCATCCAGGATCTGGTCTGCAGCCTGAAGGGCAGCTACAAGGAGCTGAACGCCAATACCACGCGCAACGTGCTCAATCTCATCCAGGGCTCCATCCAGCGCAAGGACGAGGAGATGGCCTGGGTGGACTCCTGCTGCCTGCAGCTCACCGGCCGCCACAAGTCCGGCAAGGAGGAGACCTTCACATTCCAGACGCAGACGCCGGCGGTGAAGAAGGAGTGGATCACGGAGCTGCGTCTGGCCCAGCTGGCCCTCGATCCGAACAACTCGCCCGCCTGGGAGCGGGGCGGCAGCCATCCGCAGCCGGGCCACCACCATCATCATCATCACCATCATCCGTCGCAGCATCCGCATCCACATGCGGGCGCAGGAGCGGGAGCGAGTGATCCCCGCCAGACGCAGGAGCAGCTGCAGCTGCAGGAGGCCGTCCAGCAGAAGCAGTCGCGCAAAATGCCGCTCTTTGTCAAGGCAATGCCTGTCTACAAGTCACAGCATCAAACCGAGGTGGGTTGATCCTTGTAATCTTTCCTGTAATTATACACTTGTCCGTATGCCCGTCTGTCCGTAAGTCCGTATGTCCGGACCATTTTTGGCCAAGTTACAGCAAAAAAACAAACAGAAAAAAGTCAAACTTTACCAAAACCACAGATCCCGATTTTCCACAAAAAAAAATAGTTTTTTGACCGTAACAACGGAAATATTTATTCAAATATGGAATGTCATACCTTTGTGAACTCGTTATTAAATTTCCTATCGATTTGCATTTAAAACTGGACATTTTATTTTTTTTGCCTTTTTTGTAAAAAATCATGAGGTACCCCCTTACAAAAAAATTTAAAATTGGCGAAAATTTTATTTTTCCAAAATCACACGGAAAGTGTTCTGGATTTATAGATAATTTTGTTATCTGTTCAAAACAGTATGTATTTTTGGTGTAGGACCATTTTTGGCCAAGTTACAGCAAAAAAACCAAAAGACAAAATTCAATTTTTGTCAAAAACTGAAATCCCGAATTTCCAAAAAAAAAACAAAACGGGTTTTTTCGCTAAAACAAAGCAAATACTGATTCAATGTATGGAATCATCAAATACTGATTCGCAAAAAATCATGGGGTACCCCCTTACAAAAAAATCGAAAATTGGCGAAAATTTTATTTTTCCAAAATCACACGGAAAGTTTTATGGATTTATAGATAATTTTGTTATCTGTTCAAAACAGTATGTATTTTTGGTGTAGGACCATTTTTGGCCAAGTTACAGCAAAAAAACAAACAGAAAAAAGTAAAATTTTTACCAAAAACGCAACCCAATTTTTCACAAAAAAATAATTTGTTTTTTGTCCGTAACAGTGGAAATATTAATCCAAATATGAATTGTCATACCTTTCTTTATTAAATTTCAAATCGATTGGCATTTAAACCTGGACATTTTATTTTTTTTAATTTTTCGTAAAAAATCATGAAAAAATTGAAAATTGGCAAATAGTGTATTTTGTAAAAATCACACGAAAAGTGTCATGGATTTTTTTATAAAACCTGGTGTTTTTTGACATCTCATCTTCTGCTCCTAGGGAAATAATCTCTTAAACATTTCTTAATTTCGAATTTACTTTAATAAAAATATTATCTTTACAGGTGCGCTGTGGATGTTACTACAGCATCGCCAATGACACCAAGCAGAGCGGAAATGCGCGACGGCGGCACAAGCAGCTGAACTACCTGTGGATGTGCAGCAGCGACGGCACCTCCTCGCACATCACCGTCCTGGCGCAGCATCCCCAGCAGGCGGGCAATCTGCGCGAGGCGGGTGCCTTCGATCTCTTCGAGGCGCAAGTTTCGGCGATGGAGTTTGTAAAGGGACTGGATCAGCTGAGGACGCGCGACGAGCCGGCCAGTCTGCTGGGCGATCTCGTTTGGCTGGGCACCGATAGCCGCAAGATCCTTGTCTATTCGGCCAGGAATCCAGAGCAGGAGGAGCAGCTGGGCAGCTATGCGGTGCCGGGTGCAGTGCAGCGTATACTCTATCACTTTGATGCCGTCTATGTGGCTTTGTCGGGAGCCACGGTGCTGATCTTCCGGCGCGGCAACGACGGCCTGTGGCAGCTGCGCGATCCGCAGATTATACGGCTGGGCGACTCGGATCTGGTGGTGCCCAGCCTGCTGCCCATCAACATGTGCATCTATGCGTCGTGCGCGAATCGAGTGTATGTGCTGAACGCCCTGAACGGCGAGATCCAGCGGAGCTTCGAGGTGCAGCACGGTGCCAGTCAGCAGGTCAATCTGATGGCCCACTCGGGCATTGGTTTGTGGATATCGCTGAAGAACTCCACGATGCTGTGTCTCTACCACACGGAGACGTTCAAGCATCTGCAGGACATCAACATTGCCTCGAGCGTCCTGCGGCACGACGGCAAGAAGGAGCAGCCGCTGAACAATAGCTCGGTGTATGTGACCGCCTTGATGGCCTGCAAGGGACTCCTCTGGGTGGGCACCAATGTGGGCATTGCGGTTACGATTCCGCTGCCCCGTTTGGAGGGAGTGCCCATCATTAGCGGAGGGATTAACATGTCGTGTCATGCGCACTTTGGACCCATTACCTTTTTGCTGCCGCTGATTCCGAAGGTTTATCCGGCTTACAAGCCACCAGGAACTGGAGGAAGTGGAGCTGCTCCACTGGTGCCCAGCATGGGCGATGACCTGCAGCTGCCTGCCATCGATGCGGATCCGAAAAGCGTCCAAGAGCTGGACGACGGGGCTGTGGTGCTGCGCAGGGATCTGGTTAAGCCGGAGGAGGTGGCGCAAGTGCCTTTGCCCACCAGTAATCCCTCCTCGCCGCGCAGCTCCAAGCTGGACAAGCAGAACTCGCTGGACCAGAGCTTCACGGCCAAGATACGCGCCTCGCTGGCCAATTCGCCGGCCTTCCATCGCAAGCGTTTCCGCGATGATCCGAATAGGATGTCCAAGACTTTGCCACGCGGTTTGGGAGCAACTGCAGCAACAGCAGCGGGAGGATCAGCATCAGGAGGATCAGCAAGTGGATCAGGAACCCAAACCAACAGCGAGCATGGCATCTGCGATGTGTACGGCCTGTACGGCAAGCTGATATTCGTGAAGGAGGACTACGATGCGGAGGAGGGCAACCAGGGCAACCTGATGGACATGATGTACGAGGGGATGCGTCGCTCGGACCCCGAACTGGCGGCCATACCGGGCAAGGTGTGCACCCTGGACAGGCGGCTGCGGATGAAGGCCTCGCGACCGCGTTCGCTGGATCTGTCCAACTGGTCGGTGGACTCCAAGTCCTCCAGCCTGTACACGTCGTCGGGCAGCGAGGAGAGCATGGGCATCCGTCACTTTGGCGGGCGATCCGTGTCGCGGAATAGCAGCAGTGCCAGCCACAAGACCTCCGGCACGGGCAGCGATCTGGGGAATATATCCGAGAATGGGCTGATGACCACGGCGGACATTCATCACCATCAGTTGCAGCAGCAGCAGCAGCAGCAGATGCAGCAGCAGAAGCCGGAGGAGATGAGCCGACTGGGGGCCGGATCGCAACCAGCTGCCGCTGCGGTGGCCACCTTGAAGCGCAAGCAGAAGCAGAACTCCAAGCAGCAGCAGCAGCAGAGCGCCGACGGGCCGAGGACAGTGATCACCCTGATGGGCGGACGCGGCTATTGGCGGCAGATGTGGTACAACGGAGCGGGCGGCTCGCCCAGTCATAAGAATAGCAGTGGATCTGGCGGAGGAGGAGGTGGATCCTCCGGAGGAGGAGCATTCAGTAACCAGACAGTCAACCCGAGCTGCTCGCCACTGACCGCCAACTCCAATGACGCACACATTGTGGTGTGGGAGAAGAAGTTATAATCGCAGGAGCTGGTGTGCTGCTGCACCCTTCAGCAGCATCCCCACCAGCACCATCCGCCGCTCACCGAGCTCTGGCGCCGCGTGGGCGAGCAGCAGCAGTTGCAGTTGCAGCAGCAGCAGTTGCAGTTGCAGCGCCGTGGACGAGGAAGAGTCCGCTTCCGGGGATCCTTTATCCAACGAGATCGCAGTGCAGGCAACGAGGGAGGAGGAGGAGCAGCTGGAGGAGCAGCGGGGAGCATGTTGGGTGCCAGTCTGAAGCGACTGACCAAGCTGAAGCGCGGCGGCAGCCTCAAGGAGTTCTAGATTCGCGTGTACATTGTTTTCGAAAATTAGTTTGTAGCTCGTAGGCTTACGTTAAGGCACAAAACTTCGTTTTGCGTTCGCTGCAAGCGGGAAAATATCGAATATATCTATTAGGGACCCTCGCTAACGCGACCAAACCAAATCGGAGAAGCATACAAAAATATTTAAAATATTTTGGAATCATTATTATCATTATTAATATTTAACTTTCTTGTTCAAAGCATTTATCACTATTGTAAAGTCAATATTTGAATTTCTTTCTAATAATTTCCAAACAGTTTTCCTATCAAAGTTAAATTTTGTTCTTTTCGTATTTAATCACAAAGCTAAGCCTGAAACGGATTTGGAAGCAGAAACGGAAGCGGCCACAGGGTGTACATTTATATAGCGAATGTTTCTCGAGAAACCTAGTGTTTAGTCAGCTTTTTCTCAAAACTCGAACAGCCAACTATCTCTTTTCGTTCTCGATTCTCGCGTAAGAAAGTGAAATTTAGAGGTAGGAAAATGTTTTTTTTTTCGTATGTAGTTCATAACTGAATATCCAAATATACAAGTGTTTTTTTTTCGCTAGTTATGTAAGCACATTATGTTACGTAGGATCTAAGTATTTCGATAAGCGGTAGAGCACACACACGAGAGAGCGGCCAAGCCAACAAGCTAGGGGGAAATGATGTTGTCCGTACAATAAGAGATAAAACTTGTTAAAAGATCCGGGAAACTGCCGAAGGAGCAGGACTTGTGCAGAATGGTGTATAACTCAGTTATACAAACGGCTCGATTTGGCCCCATTCTGCGACCATTTTGCGGTTTTTGCTAACCTTTTCGAAGGGAAAACTCTCAAGCAGCTGGCAGCACTTTCCTTATGTATGTATTATAACGAAATTAGACTTAAACGTACTCCCCATTTGTGGAAACACCCAATTTGTAGTATGTATTTGTGAACATTTACAACAAGCATACAAGAAAAATACAAAAAACAAATGGTTTTTTTTGTCTGTCAAGTAAATTGATATATATACATATATACAAGAGTAATGAAGCGAACAAGGAATATCTTATATATACACAAAAATAAAAACATACTTATATACGATTTACATATATAAAAATATACATGTGCGTGTGTGCAACAAGAATATTTAGCTAAACATAATAAGGAAAGAAACAAAATGTTTTATCGAAGATATTTTTTGTGAACGATATCTTTTGGATACACATATAGAAGTCAGGCATAATGCAATTATGTAACTTTTTATATCATTGTGCATATTTACACACACCCGAAACACATACACACACACACACACACATACGCGTTAACGCACTCATCTACATATATGAAAATAATATATTTACCTATATATCTACACATATTTACGGGTTCCCCGGGGAACCCACATGTACATGTACTTGGATGGCATATTATTCGGCCTCGTTTGTGAATTATATATCCACAGCGAAACCAGTGGCTTTGTCGGTGTTATACAACAAACAAAAAAAGATGAAAACAAAAACAAGAGCATTGTATGTATTCAAGAACAAAGAAAATGTATTAAAATATTACAAAAAAAATATATATATTGTGTGTTTTTATCCTAAAATGAAAGGTGTAAACTGTGATTTTTTGAATAATTTTGCTGCTACAGTTAGAGAGTCACTGATCAATGCTAAGTTACAGTTTGAGAGCCACTTTTGGCCTACATGCCAACAGTTTCAGAGCAATTGGTCGAAGCGCAGATACAGTTTGAGAGTCACTTTCGGTTTATTAAGTAACAGTTTGAGAGCAATTGTTGCAAGCCCAGATACAGTTTGAGAGCCACTGTTGGCCTAGATGGTAACAGTTTGAGAGCAATTGGAAAGCTAAGTCGCTGCTGAAAACTTTGGTCAAGATAGCGTCACAAACTACCTCAATTTTAAATTTTGCTGAAAAACCTTGGTCAAGATAGCGTCACAAACTACCTCAATTTTTAGAAACATTTAGCATTTATGACAGCTAAAATGAACCTGCAAGTGACGCTATCTTGACTCTAGTTTTTCGGCAAAATATAAAATTGAGGTAGTTTGTGACGCTATCTTGACCAAAGTTTTCAGCAGCGACTTTCCAATTGCTCTCAAACTGTGACCATCTAGACAACTAGTGCCTCAATTGCTCTCAAACTGTTACTTTGCAGGTCAAAATGGCTCTCAAACTGTATCTCGCCACTGGGCAATGACTCTAAAACTGTAAATTAGCATTGATCAACGGCTCTAAAACTGTTGATATGCAGGTCAAAGGTGGCTCTCAAACTGTGGTCTATCATAGTACAATGGCTCTCAAACTGTGGTCTATCATAGTACAATGGCTCTAAAACTGTAGCTGTTTGACGGTGCCTAAAAGTGTGCTGTAAATTAATTCTAAGTAATGCACGGCCCAAAAGTATGCTACAAAATATTAACATGTGCTGAATTCACAGTTTAATTACAATTGTTTAACAAAAGGTGGAAAATAAGGATTTAGAACCACAATACCCATTTTTTAACGCCTTTTCAATCGTAATTTCGCCAAACCGAGTCGCACAGCAAAAGGACCGACTGTTCTGAGCAGCTAACAACCTAAACTAACTATCCCCATCAGTTACAGGAAAAGTACATTTTTCACTATTTTTCACTTTTTTGATAAGGGACACCATCATGATTTTTTGCGAAAAATGGCAAAAATTAAAGACTTCTAGGTTAAAATGCCAATCAATAGCAAATTTAATAACGAGTTCAACAAGGTAGTACACACCATATTTGGATCATTATTTGTTTTTTATGGCCAAAATACTAATAATAAATACTACTTTTTTTGGGTGAAAAATCAGTATCTAGATTCTTGGTAAAAATTTGATTTTTTATTATAGATTTTTTGCTGTAACTTGGACAAAAATGGTCCCAAATCAAAAAGGCGCACTGTTTTGTGCAGCTTATAACCTTACAATTAATATTAGTGCACTTTGCGACTGATTTGGTAAAATTAGTTTTCTACTAAATTTTCGCTTTTTTTATAAGGGGTACCATCATGATTTTTTACGATAAATTGCAAAAAAATTAACATGTCTGGATTTGAATGCTAATCGATTGGGAATTTAATTACGAGCTCAACGAGGTATTACATTTAATATTTAGACCATTTTTGCGTTTTTTTCGTCCAAAATACTAATTTTTTAGGGCGGAAATGACTATATGAAACTTGTATTTTGTTTTGGGATTTTTGCTGTAAGTTCGCATTTTTATAATTTCATGGGGAAGCTAGGCTTTCACTTTGCTCGTTATTTTATGCACAGCAAACCCTTTAGTTGCATTTTACATAACCTTAAATGACAATGCACATAGCAGGGCAAAAAAAGGGAAAGTTCATGATGCATTTATCATATTGCGACTATGCAAGCTAAAAGGGAAACACTTTCAGGGTATACATTTGAATTAGTACAACATGATTCTTAGATAAACATTAAAATATACTTTAAAACTTATTCTTAACCCTTTTTAAGCGTTTACTAGCTTTTATTTAATTAGACAACATTTTAGCTAGAAATTCTACCTTTTTTTCTAATAGAGCTTAAAGTTGTAACTCGTAATTGTTCATCCTGTTTGTGTAGAAAGCTCTCGGGATGTTCTGAGCCAGGATATTGAGCAATTGAAAACCGTTGGAAGCTCCAGTTCGTATATTGACCCACTTGCGTGAGTTATTCATCTGAGCCGGGGCATTAGTTTTGCGTAAGGGCCGGGAAAAAAGTCGAGGCATGCCAAATTGATATTATCAGTAATGAATAATAATGCCCAATAAGCGAGTCGGCTGATAATGATGCGACGGCCCATTACATAAACGAAAGCACATTGCACCGCAGCTCCATCTCCATCTCCACCATCGCCAGCTTATTAGTGTTAATTGTTGGCGACACTTTTATTTCCATTTTCAATTCATTTTCCCATTTCTATTTCCATTTCGCTTTGCTTTATTCCACCGCTCGCCTTTGAATCGTCGAACTTGGCAAGTGTCTGTCCCCCTTAACGCTTAACGAGATTGCAGTTCGAGCTGGCCATCCGCTGGCCATTGGCCATTGGCTGATAAATGAGTCGGAGTCTGGGCCAGACATTATGCAATACTTAGGCCCTAAGGCGATTGGGAGCGGTATACCGAAATAGCCACCGAAATACGCCGCCATCCAAATGAAATGATGTCCAAATAGTCCAACATCTTGTGGATAATTCTGTCAGCCTAGGGAAAGAAAAAAGTAGGTATTACAAAATTAATCAAATTGAATCGTTTAGGGCTAAAATGTACTATTTAAAAAGACTTATACAATATTTATTTGCAATATTTATTTATATATAATATTTATCATTATTCAGAACTTAAAATTAATTGGGTTTTTAAGACGCTATGATTTATTAAAGATAAAAGTAGTTAAATCCTCTTATATATTAGATAAATATTTAGAAGAATTATTTACTAAGGAAATATTTACCTATTTTATTTTCTAAAAAATAGAGTAAAAAGTGAAACATATGTAGCACGCGGAGGGCAATTTCAGGATGGGAGGATGCTGCACCACAGCACAGAATAAACGGGTGACAGTTGCAGATGCGACAATTGGATCGATAAATCAGGCTTGTTTATTACAACAACAGCAGCGGCCATAACCGTAACTCCCGCTGCTGGTAATGGCTTCCAGTTCGGTGCCAGTTCCCAGTTGATAGTTGATAGTTTTTTGTCCATGAGGCCATGACCTGCCCCAAGTGCTTTGCGTAACAGCAACAAAAACAACAACGAGGAAAGCGGTAGGGAGTGTGGAGTTTTGTTGTTTTTGGCTTTCCCAGCCAGTCACGATCGCCGCAATTTTCTTGTCACTGTCACCCGAAAAAAAGCAAATTAAAAAAAAAAAGGAAAAAGAAAAAGACCGCTCGGCCGGCACACGCAACAAAGCAAAGAAGCAGAAGCAACAGCAGCAGCAACAGCAACTGCTGCAGACACAGCAGCAACATCGACTTAAAAGACAAATAAACAAAGCGGCGGTCACAGTAAAAACTCCAACAACACGAACGGCAGCACTAACAGTAACAGAAACAGTAACAACAATTGCAAGAAAAAGAAATAAAATGCAGCAGCAACAACAACAGCAACTGGCGATTTGCCGCTGCTGATAAGAAATAAAATATTGCTAAATCACAGCGAATATTAAATACCCTAGTCATAGATTTTGTATTACCAAGCTCAGAAAAAATAATAATAAATTGGAAATTAAGAAATTACTTCGCCCATTTTGGAAAATTATCAAATTTCGCTAATTATTATGTAAAAATACCCATTAATATTATATTTTTTCCTATTATTTTAAACTTTCAATACAACCAACACCATTTGGTGAGCCGGCTTTAAAATAAATGCTTCTAAAACAGATTTTTTCGCATGGACTCTCAAACTGTAATACTTCAAATTCTAATTGAAATTTTGTTTGACTTAAATTGTCCGAAGACATTCTTTCATATTTTTTTGTAGCGTTATAAATAAATAATATAAACAAATTGAAATATTCAATAGAATTTCCCGAAATGCCAACGCTGTCCCCTGATTTTTGCTACCCCTTTTTGTAATAGTGTATAAATGGTTTGCTCGCAAAAACAGCAAACAGCCGCAACGAGCGACAATTTAACGAGGTTGCTGCTGCCGTTGGATGTTGCTGCTGCTGCTGTTGTTGCTGTTGCTGCTGTTGCTCTTCCAGCAGCAACATTTTGGCCTCTGCTGCAGTAGCTGCCTCTGCCGTTGCCTCTGCCTGCGTCGACTTCTTCGGCTGGCGGTGGTTTCCATTTCATTTTTAAGCTAACGCTCGTCGCGTTCAGCGTTTTAATATTTAATTGTCGTCGATCGCGAACGGTTGTCATTGCTCCAGAGTGCGGAGTAAAATAGTTGCATTGCCATTTGGATCGCCCCGTCTAAACCGTTAGCGTGAATCGTGAATAGCGAAGTGATCCGATTCGAATTCCCGGGAATTTGCTCAAGAGAATCCCACGGCAACATTTTTGTTCAGTGATCTACCGTTTGTTTAATTTTTTTTGGTTCAGTGCAGAGTGACCAAGACCATGATTAAGTGGTTCGGTTTATCCATGGCCCTCGTGCTGATCGTGTGCTCCTATCCTCCACACACATCCTCGCGCAGCTACAGCAACGGACTGATCTTCTACGAACTGAAGTCGCATCGGCCGTATCTGCCGCCCACGGTCAGTGTGTCGCGGGGTCGCAACCTGGCGAGCGTCAAGTACTCGGAGAAGGGCTCCATTTGGTCCACCTTCGGACAGCCCTGCGAGTGCAGCGGACCCACCTGCGGCTGCTGTGCCGGCCTCAAGGTCGATCAGTACCGATTCGATCAGAAAGGTGAGCAAAAATTATGATTTTCTGGATTTTATGGGCACATTTCTTGGACCTTTTAAATGGGTTTACTAAATAGCTGTGATTATGTAATTAAATTTGATCTTTAAATATGATATTTATTAAAGGAAATTATAGGTCCCTTTAGTTTTCATATCTATACCTTATGATATCTATATATTCTTAGGATATTTTAGATGGGTTTACCCAAGTACTGCTATTATGCATAGAAATTTGATTTTTAAATATGATATTTTAGGATATTAAAAGTTCATCATGTTTTAATACCTAGAAACCTGATGCCTAGCATCCTAGTTATGAGGTAAATAATTTTAAATTTAATAAATAGAATGGTTTAAGTAGTCACAACATTTTCAGTTTCATTAAGAATAAACTACAAATTGTTAACTACCTTTTAAAATATAATTTTAAGTCTTTTTAAGGAGCTATTAAAATATAAATACAACCATTTTTATGATGAAATATTATTTTATATTGCGCTAAACTAAATATCAATCCTTGATATTAACAATATTTTTTTTTGTCAGTGTGAAGTTTAGTTGGAGAAAATCAGATTAGAGGGTTTTACATACAGCCAGCTGTTTAGCCTTAATATCTTAATATCCAGTAATGAGCACTGGTTTAGCAAACCGCTTTCGGAATATCCCGAAGATATGCATAAATCGAGATTGAGATCGGAATCATGCCTTCTGGCCATATATTTGGCTGCGATTCGGGCCGATTTCCTTGGCCAAGAAACCGATCTTGGCCGCGAGTTGGGGGGACTACAATGCGATCGCTGGTTTCCATTTCCATTTCGCTCCGCTTCGTGACATGCCAGCATTTGCCAATCAAAATGCCACAAATTGTTGGCGCTTCCAGCGGTGGCTGCCCCTCATCCCCTCATCACCACCCCCTCATGGGATCCGCCGACAGTTTGCCACCCGCCACTTTCATTCATTGAATGGAATCGTTTCAATTGTTGTGCCTATCTTTATAATTTCCATTCAACGTTTTCTTTCCATTTCCATTCGCAGTCTGCGCCAACGTGAGCTTCGTGCCGCAGCTGGAGGAGGCCCAACTGGAGGTCTATCTGAACGGGAGGCCCTCCTCGAAGTACGGGATCTCGGTGCGGAATCCGGCGCCCTTCTGCATTCCCGTCATGATGGGCGTGCCCATGGCCATGTGCGTCCAAATGACCGACGTGGCCATGGTCGACAGCCATCTGAACATGTGCATGGACTTCGTGGTGCGACTGGCCACCACGGATCTCTTCGAGATGCACTTCCAGTGCATGCGGATGGGCCTCGATGGGCTGCAGTATGTGGACAAGAACGGGAAGCCCGTGCTGCCAGCTGGAGGTGGAGGAGATGGGCAGAGCGACGATCCCGAGGAGTACGAGTACGCCGAGCTGGAGGATCAGCCGGAGGAATATCCCTCGCAGGAGGAGGTCAAGGTGGAGGATCGGCCAGAAGAGGATCAACCATTGGGCTATCCACCTCTGTTGCAAAACCAAGCACAGAAGACTGAGCCTCAGAAGAATCAGCAGCAGCAGATAGAGGAAGATCAACCTGAGAAGAATCAAACACTGCTTGAAAACGAGGAGAAGAATCCCGCAAGTGAAGATCTTGGCTATCAACCACTACATCAAATCGATCATCTTAAAGAAGAAGAACAACAATCATTGGATTATCAGCCGGTGGAAAATCAACCTGAAGAGAATCAACCAGAGAAGAATCAGGAAGAATCACTTTCAGACAAACTTAACGAAGATCCTTTGGAAGAAGACGATCAGCCTACGGGTTATCAGCCCATGATTGCAATGGAACCCCATAAAACTCAGCCAGAAGAATCTATTCCAGGGGATCTGCAAAAAGAAAGCGAAAAGGAGGAGGGCGAAGATCATCGGGTGGACGAAGAACCCGAAGAGGTGGAGCCCCTGCCAATCGAAAGTGAAATGCTGATGGCCAGCGATCAGGCAGAAGAAGCCCCTCTCGAAGAAGAGGCCGAAGAAACGACAGCTGGAGATGCGAAAGAGACGGAGAAGGAGAAAGAGATGGAGAAAGAGCAAGAGACACCTGACTATGACAATGCTTTGAATGGCGAGAGTGGCCCGAGGCCAAGTCAGGTAATTGAAACAATTACCAATTCAATAAAAGCCACTGAGGCGCCCACAACAACAACGACAACCAAAATACCGACAACAACGAAAATACCAACAACAACTAAAATACCAACGACATTTAACAAGCCAAACATCGTTGTTATTGATGACACAAACAATGGGGAGAAGACGCCAGTTCGAGAAGAAGACGGGGGTGAGAAGACAGTAGCAGAAGAGGCGGAGAAAGAGGGGGCCGAAGAAGACGAGGAAGAAGAAACCGAGGAAGAGGCGACAACAGTGGCTGTTGAAATGGAAAACGATAGCGATAATGAGATAAACGTGGACGATGATGATGACGATGAGGTAGAGAAAAAAAACCAGGTGAAGGAACCCCCAAGCCAGGTGGTAAAAGGGGAGACCAAAACGGAAGAAAAGCCCGCGAAAGAGACGGAGAAAGAGGTGAAGACGGGTCACGGTGAAAAGGTCAAGCCAGATGACACGGCGGCTGAAGAAGGAGAAGACGAAGACGAGGAGGAAGAAGGGGCGGAAGATAATAATGAAGAAGGAGAGGACGACGACGTGGAAGAGGAAGAGGAGGACGAGGATGCCGAGGAGGAGGAAGAAGAAGGAGAGGCTGCTGCAGAAGAATCCACCGAGGCAGCAAAGTCCGAAGAAAGCGCTGTGAAAACCGATGAAAATGGCTATGGCTATCAAAATACATATGCAAATGCAAATGAAAATGCGGCGCCGGCAGCAAAGTCGTTGTCCCGACGTCGACGCCTGAGGAAAATGCCCCTGCGGAAAATCCATTAGCCCCTCCTTAAACATAATTTATTGTAATTCGTAATTCGTAATTGTTAATGAATTGTTAATGCTAAACGTTGAAGCCTGTTAATTAATACGTATTTATTGTATTTATTGAAACCAACTCAAAGCCAAACTCAAGCGAAATAAATGATAATTGTAATTGTAGCAACTGAAAATGCAACTTAATATCAGATCAGAGGTTTTGGCGTGGATCGTTTAAATGTGCAGTGAAGTGGTAGCCCTGGGCAAATATCTTGCTTGAATATCAAGTTAAAGTGAAACTTTAGTTTCAGTAAAGATGGATTTTCGAACTTAAGGCTGTTGATTATAGTTTTTAAATCGAATTTCTAAAAGGTATTTTTTAAAAATCTTATAATAGTTAATATAATAATTAATTAAATAGGATTTTCTTGTGGTCGGTGATATCAGAACAATTTTATTGTTGTATACTTTTTGAATACTTTTATTTTTCACCCATATCTTTAATAGAATAGTCTCTCGTATTATTTGCCATCATTTTGGCTTTGCTCCATTAGTTAAAGTTCCTGTTTTCGTGACCCCGTTTGTGTGTTTCTTCCTTGCCAAATTCTAGTTGGCCAAAATTAGTGTGTTCTTTGATAAATTAGCCGTAGGATCAGAATCTCTACCATGTCCTGGTCGAGTGGCCTTAACAATGCGGGCGTGTGCTCCCTGCTCCCCCAACTGCGCCCCTGGCAGCGGATCGAGTGGCGCCCCTGCATCCAGTCGCAGATCTACAGGGACTGGGGCGTCTACTACACTCGCCGTCTGCTGAATCACACGGCCCTGGAGAGTTTCGGCCGGGCGGTGGCCGTTTGCAAGGAGGAGGAGGCGCCTCGCTTCAGTCCATCCGCCCATGGGGGCGTGGCCGAGCCGGGCGTTTGCCTCGAGGACTACAAGTCGCTATTTCTGCGCGGTCGCTGCCACCGATCGCTGGCCCGTCCGGACTTGGCCCTGCTGGATGTCCAGCGGGCCCAGAAGGCGCTCAGGTCAGTGATGAAGTCATCCAGCGTTTCGGAGGCCGCCCATATCATAGCCGAGAAGTGCGACAATCTCTTCGAGGCCAACGAATTCGAGAGCACCCTGACCACGCTGCACTCAGAGGGACGCCCCTTTGGCGGGCAATTGGCCCACGGGCGGTTCCGGTTGATCAAGGAGAAGGTGAGTGAATCGCTTTACTGTTTCTCTCTCTCTTTATATGCATAGAAATGTACAACGAGTATTATAAACCCTTCTGTTCAACGAGTAACGAGTAACTTATAACGAGTAATTGATAACGAGTAATTAATAACAAGTTAAACCCTTTACTCTTTCTTTCTTCATATACGTAAAAATATACAACGAGTACAATGCACCCTTCTACTCAACGAGTAACGAGTAACGAAAATTAATAACGAGTATTTTATAAAAAATTTAACTCGTTTCAATGAATATTAATGAAAGCTGCTGCATATTTAATCAAAAATGATCTAATTCCCTATACTGCCTCAGACTCTCGACGTTTTCGAGGACACCTTGGGCGAATCGCTGCGTCCTTTCATGCACGAGCACGGCGGCGTCCTTGAGGAGGTCAGCCGCCGGCAGAAGGAGCTGGCCGCCCACGACCCCCGGCCCCTTTGGAAGACGCTGCGAGAGCGGCGGCAATGCGACGTCCAGAGCGTCCTCATCAAGCAGCCGGCTCAGCTGACCCCCCTTGAAAAAGCCCGTCGGCGGTCGAGCGAACGTCTGTACAACTACAACTACATGGGCCGCAGCGCCGTGGACATTGCGCTTTTGCGGCAACTGCGCAGCGATAAGAACCTGCTCGATCCCCTGCGAATCCAGACCACGCCGTCCATGCGACAGCTGAGCGAGGAGCAGTACGCGATTGTCCGGCGGTTTATGGTGAGTGAAGCGAAGGAGAAATCATATTCCTTCTTCCTTACAAAATTGTACTTTCTGGAAAAACTATAGAAAGTTTAAGAGCAAATGCTCTTAGTCTGAGATTTTTCGTTTTCCAAACTATTTGAGAACAAACGTTCTTGAAATCAAGACGAAAGTTGTCCCTAGTTTCTTTTTCAAGACTTAATAATTTTAAAATTTGACTTCATTTTGATTTATCGAATGGAAATAATGCTTTATCTCATTTTTATGAACTTGAGACTTTATCGATCTTGGCTCACTGTCTTTTTTTAAGATATGAAATCTTATAAATATAAAAAATTCTATTAACAAAAGCATGCTATTTTTCCCATGGTTTCGTATTTCCCCTTAATGGTACATACGTATTATACCCAATTAGAAAATGCTGCATGCCCGGAATCCGCTGTACAACCGGCGGTACGTGAGGCAGCGGAAGGGGGGCGTCTGCGAGCAGGAGCGGCGTCGCCGCAGGGAGATGCACCTGTTCCACACGCAATACCAGACACGTCGCGACTGTCTGAGGATGTTGCACGAGGTGCACAGGCTGCGCAGGGAGGGCGATGTGGAGAGGCTCTCCGACTATGTGGAGCACATAATGTCCGGCTTTGTGGGGCTGAAGACCCAGCGCACGCTGCCCTGGAAGTGGGAGCTGCTCAACGACATCTACAATGCCCTGGCAATGGCCCACTGTGACCGCTGCGCCGTGCCCGCCAACGTCGACTTCCTGGAGGCCCAGAATCGGCACGTTCTGTACCTGTTGCGGCCGGAGAAGGTGCGCGACATGAGCGTGAGCTTCGGGGGGCCAAACATCTACCTGGAGATCGAGCGGGAGGAGGAGCGGCACAGTCGAATCACGTGAGTCAGTATACTCTAGTTTGTCTATAGGGAAGTTTATCTCAGAAAAAATTGCAAATATAAATCCGAAAATATTCAAGTAATTATCCATACTACAAATTATTGAGTTTCTTAAAGTTAAATATGTTTTGTATATTTTTTCTAATTTTGTTCATGGAAAATATCAGTAACTAAATTATTTGTCATAACATACTCGAGACTATTCATTTATTTATTTTCCAAAAGAAGAAAATTTCTTTTCCTACTAAAAAAATATATGTAAATATTAATTATTTAATTATATTTTTTATACTCTTATTTAAATGATTTTTTTATTTTCTTAGCCAGAAGCTGGAGCATCTGGAGAATCGGCTGCGCCACTCCCGCTACCCCATCGAGCGATCCTACTTGTTTTTCGAAATGGCGCGCTGCCACTTCAAAGAGTCGCGATTCGACAAGTGCCTGGTGATAGCCCGCAAGGCCTACAATGGTGAGTTAACCCCAGCCTAACCTTAACCCAACTGTAACCTAATATTAAACCCCCAGAGGCCCGGGTCTGCAACTGCCTGATCTGGCGGTTCAACAGCATCTTCCTCGGCTGTCAGGTCCATGCCGTTCTGAATCGCTTCGAGAGGCTGAAGGAGTCGCTGGCCAAGGCCAATCAGTTGGCCAGCGATCTGAAGGCCCCCAAACTGGTGGCCTACATAGCCATCTGCATTAGCGTGAACAACTACGACTTGGCCCTGCGGCAGATGCGGCAGCAGCAGGATGTTTTAGTGCCCAAGTTCCGGAAACGAAGTCCCATTAGCACCGTTACTTCGATAAGCTCGCATACGACTAATAGCAGTTCGGAATAGGAATATTATATGCTACTGAGCCAGGGGCTCTTGGCTTTGAATTCCCCTGGAATTTTTCCCTGGAATATAAAGCTAAGAGCTTCTGTTTTTAGGCTCCTCATAGACTATCAAATTTAATGCACTTTTACCTTTGTGATTTCTAAATAAATATTTCTAGTTTGTAAAGATATTTATTTTATTTTTTTCCCCACTGAAACTGGGTTAAATGGCAATTCTCCCACGCTGCTGACTCTTCGACAACAAAAGTGTTGGATTTTCACAGCATTTAAGTGTTGGCCCCCCAAAAATGTTGCAATGGCTAAATTAGTAAGCGAAGCGCGGGAATAAAAAACGGTAACAAAAAATGGCCCAAAGAAAGAGATACAATGAAAGGGGGGCCATTAATGCTGTGAAAAACAATAACCCCCCCAAATCGGGCAATATTATATAACACTTAAATGCCACCGGCCAAGAGCCAGTCAAATTATTTAATTACTCTTCTTTTTTGTGTCTACCTTTTGCGGCGACGATTATACGACAATTATTACAATATTTATTTATAATTTTTAATTGCTTTTATTTTTCACATCAGCCGCGAATGATGTCTTTTGTTTTTCGTATGCTTTCGGTGGTTTTTCGTTTTGTTTTTTCTGTTTTTTACTGCTTTAAAACTTTGCATAAGCAGCGCAGCAGGGGCGGGGTTTTTCGGAGGGGCAGGGTGAGGAGTTAGCTTGCTTGACTATTACTCTTCATTTGTATGCCAGCGGGAGTGTGGGTGTCCGCATTTTGTTTCGCTTCTTTTTTGCGGAAAGAAAGTTACCCGACCAAACAGAAACGGAAAAAAATGTGAGATGGACAGGGGGCAGCCGCCAATTAAATGTTTTGCTTCTGCCGGTTTTATCGTTTTTGGCAATAGCGCAACAAGCCATGCGAAGTGTCGCCGAAATGCGACCGAAAACCATAAATAAGCGCGAAACAAGCAAAGTCGAGCAAAAAAACAAAGCGAGCGACCAGCTGCATTTCAATTGAATTTCCAGTCAGTGCTTCCAAAACTGTGCGAGGCTATGGAACAAATTGCACCCTCGAGGGGAAGCTCAAAACTTTTTAGGAGTTTTTCAAGGTTAAGTTCATTTAAAGACTACAACAAAATATTAACAGAAGTATGAATATTTTTATACTCGTTACTCGTGGGTTAAAAGGGTATATTGTATTCGGGGAAACGTTTGTAACAGGTAGAAGAAAGCGTTTTTATACCCATTTTTTTAATAAGGGTGAAAAATCAGGATCTTGACTTTTGGTAAAAATTTGATTTTTATTATAGACTTTTTGCTGTAACTTTGACAAAAATGGTCCCAAATCAAAAAGGCGCACTGTTTTGTGCAGCTTACGACCTTATAATTAATATAAGTGCACTTCCCGACTGATTTGACAAAATTAAATTTTGACCCAATTTTTGCTTTTTTTATAAGGGGTACCATCATGATTTTTTCGAAAAATGGCAAAAATTAAAAATTTTCAGGTTTAAATGCCAATCGATTGGGAATTTAATAACGAGCTCAACGAGGTACGACACACCACATTTGGATCATTATTTCCATTTTTATGGCCAAAATACTAACAGTAAATACTACTTTTTTTTAGGTGAAAAATCAGGATCTTGATTTTTGGTAAAAATTTGAGTTTTTATTATAGATTTTTTGTTGTAACTTGGGCAATTATGGTCCTAAATCAAAGAGCAGGTAACAACCTTATAATTAATATCAATGCAAAAATTTCCATATATCCATTTCCGACATATCCTACCCACTGTCCTTCACTCGGCAGTTTGATCCGCACTTGTTGCTGTGTGACTTGTGACCTGCCTGCGCTGCCTCCGCCACCTCGAGCCAATTAGCCAGCACTCATACGCCCTGTTGCATGCATAAACAGCACTCCGAATCAACGTCAAAAGAGCAACAGAAACAGAAACTTTCTGCGGCTTAAGCTCTCACGTCTACCCAGAAATACACCGCAAAAGAAAAGGTAGCTAACCAACTTAAGAAGGGTCTCGAATAAATGTGTACAATTATATTGCAGTCTTATCTAACAAACTCAAATGTGGAAGGAGAAATACATTTACCATAAACATGAAAAATACTTGTACGTTCTTTTTCTAAATATAGCAACAATAATGTTCTTTCTCCCAGTGTAAGTACATAAAAAACTCATATGCACAGGTGTGGCTGGCTTGTCCAGGTGCAAATTGAGTTCACCTGGCGCTGAACGTTGACTTTGTGTCAACTGATAACACGCGAGGAGAAAAGTTTGCCAGTGCGGGGGAAGGGGTCCCAGCGGGGGGCTCAAAGGACCACAAGGACACGGCCAAAGTGCCGCCAAGTGCCACCGAATACGGACGGGACACCTGGGTAATTAGCCGGACTTTGCCTGGACAGGTGGACAGAGAGCCGTGGTCAGCAGGTGTCAACTTGCTCCAAAGACAGGCCTCGAGTGTACGGCTTGAAACAGTGGTGTCCGGAAAAGTGGTACAGTGAAAGGAAAGTTTACTACGCCGGAAATGAAAATGACAACTTAAGCAGGTGTGTTAAAATAAAAATGGGTTTAGAGCATTGGAAGCAACTGTCCTCTTAATTTGTCACTTTTTTTTCCTTCAAAGTATAAAATAATTTACAAAATTGACTAAATATAAATATGCATATTATACCCTTGTAGAGGGTATTATAATTTCAGTCAGATGTTTGCAACGCAGTAAAGGAGACGTTTCCGACCACATAAAGTATATATATTCTTGATCAGCACCAATAGCCGAGTCTATCTAGCCATGTCCGTCTGTCCGTCTGTCCGTCTGTCCGTCTGTCCGTTTCTATGCGAACTAGTCTCTCAGTTTTAAAGCTATCGCTATGAAACTTTCCCGAAAGTCTTCTTTCTATTGCAGGTAGTACATATGTCGGAGCGAGCCGGATCGGACCACTATATCTTAAGGCTCCCATAGGAATATTCAAACATATATAAGAAAATTCTTCATAATTTGTAGGAAGTAGGCGTTTTAATTCTTGACTACTTAAAAACAAAATTCAAAAATAGGAACACTGAATCTGGAATCCCTGGAACTGCACCAAGTGAGTATTACTTTATCTGCAAGGGTATATAAGCTTCGGCTGGCCGAAGGTAGCTTCCTTTCTTGTTTTATAATATTATTTTATATAAAATATATAAATAATGCCCGCGTAAAATATATTTATGTTTTATAGGTATGTGTTTTGATTCGTTATTGAGGTCCACATTAAACAGTTAAATAACAATAAAATTTAAAAAAAAAAGTAACAAAAAAGGATATTTGTCCTGTTTGTATTTAGTTTATTACCCACTATTATATACTTATATTTTTATATATAAAAGTATATTTGATCTTGTCTAACTACTAAATTATTTATATTTCTAAATTTATAGTAAATCGAACATTTATTTTCCCTAATATTTATTAAAATCATTTAATTGCATGCTTAAATTAAAGAATTTTTTGTGGTTGCTAATTCAAACCTTCTCGAATATTCCTGCCGCGAATGTGTGCCCAATCCGGTGAATATCCTGCAGTGACTGTGTTTTCCCGCCCCCTGGTCTCTTTTACGGGGGATTGGGGTCCAACAGCTCAGAGCTCAGAGCTCGGAGATCCGAGATCCGAACCCGGAGCCGAACTCTACGGCTTCGTGCGGACAGCATCATTGCCATTTCCATGCGGCTGCGGCGGCCACCAGTCGCCGGATGGGCGCCTCAGTTCGCTTTTGTGTCGTCTTGTGGCAGGTCGCCTCCGCTGTCGCAGTCGGCTACTTGATATTCCACATCTGATACATGCGCCTCGCCGTCGCTCATACGCCCCGTTGTACGCTGAGAAAGTGCGGAAAGTGCGCCAACTTTCAACTTGTTCGAAAGTGCGGAATAGGACGTAGGACATAGGATATAGGCGTTGTCCTAGGCCGCTTTTTGGTGAGGTGAGCGATTGTCATCCCCGATTTCGATTTATTATTTATGAAGAGTGCGAAAAACACTTTGCATAGTTAGTGAGGCCTACTTGTGCCGAAAGCCATTAGCATAAATCTTTCATTTCATTACACTCTATTTGCTTCGGACCGAAGAAAGAAAAACAAAATACAAAACACGGACTATTGCAACACAGATTTCCACTTCGCATATGGCGTTTTTATGATTTTGTTGGTCCCTCGAGTGCCTTTGTCCCGTTTTGTCTTAGTTTCGTCTTAGTTTCTGTGGACTTTTATCATCGCGCGTGGGTTAATCGTGTCAATGCCTTCGGCTTATGCCAAAACACGCCTGGCATAGTCATTACTTTGGCATTTGATGTGTGTTTTTCTTGTTTTTGGGGATGTGGGGCCTAGTTTTTGTGGCCACAAATCAAAAACCCGGATTTTATAACCAAACATAAAAGAGGCCATAAAAAACGGAGCATTATTTGACTAAATAAGGCCATAAAACATAAATAAATTAGTGAGTCTATGATTTTTTTTAATAGCTTACAAATATGCTTATTTGTTATTAATTTACCAACTAATTTTTTTCCACACTTTAATGAATAACTATATAAAAACTTTAAAACAACCCAAATATTTAATAGATTTAAATTTTCATATTTAAAACTTATTGCATTTCAATAAATTAATCAATTAACTAGAAATAGACTGAAATTTTTGCCTTTACATATTAAAATATTTATATTTAATTACTTAAGTAACTGTTAATAATATGCGATTTTTGTCTTTAAATATTAACATATTTATGGAAAGTCAGGTCAGTTGTTCTTTTATCTCTCGATGAGGGATTAAAGGCACAATTGATGGAGAATTCCTGGCATTTAAGAGGGACTCACTCCCGCTATGCCGCTTCTATTGTCACTTCCCATAATGCAGAAGACAAAAGACAATGGCATGCGGCCCATACGTCGTATACTTAATATTTATGCCACACGGCTGCACTTTCTCTTCTCCGTCAGCGTTTCGGTAATCAGCCAGGTGAATTGCAATGCAGAAGCTGACAATGCAACTGCCACGCCCCCACGGGGCCATTACGCCCATTTCCATCTCCCACTGACTGATTGGCCTCGAATGCTGGATGAAAGAACTGCATAATGTCGATCCAATCATCCGTATCAGGCTGCTAAACGTGTGTGTGCCTAGGAAAATTCAGTGTGTGTGTCGGGGGGAAAATTCAGGAAAAAAGCAGAGGCAGAAAGAGGCGTTGCCCACATCATGAAAAATTCATGACGCGTGCCAAGTGATTCAGGGCGCCACCTGTCGAAACGCATGCATAATTGAAAACTGCATTGGTATTTGCAAAACTGCAAAATGGCCAACAGCCGATGGAATCCCGAATCCCGGCGAATATATCAACCGTATCGCAGAGGCCAAACGAAAAGGAAACCCTTAAATGAAATCCATTATGGTTGCTATGTATTTTCGAAAATAAAAACAAACCTATTATTACCGAGAACGAAGTCAAGCAGACTTTAAGGCAACATTCTTAGAATAATATCCCAAGGAAAAACATTATTATCATACTTTAAAACTTGTAGCTAAATTACAAGCAATTAACTTTGGTTTTTATTGGGATTTTATGATCTAACAACATGTTAGTAAAAAGAAAATCACATCAATTTCGCAATTAAATGAAATTATTTATTTGTATATTGCAATCTAATCCCTAATAATTTGATGCGGGCTTTTAAATAAAGTATGTTTGTTTTATATTTATAAAATAATATTTAAAATAAATCTTTAGCTCTATTAGGAAATGTATTGTAACTGTATCTGTGCATCTGTGGGATAATTCCGCCGCCAAGAACGCATAAATCGAGGACTATGCAATCCAACTGTCATTCGGGCACTCCTCCAAGATATACTTTCTTTTTTTTAACAACTTTCTCTGCTCCTCGCTTGCTCCCCATAAAAAATGTAAAACGGGAGCAACTGCCGCGCTGGCTGGCAATAAATCTAACGATAATTTGATACGCAACGTTTTACGATGCTTTCGGCGACCCAGTCGCTTGGTAACCCTAACCCAAACATAAACCCAACCCCCTCGGCCGTCAGGAGGTTAATGCCCCAAGTCGCTAGTCGCTTGTCGGTTGTCATCGCTGTAAAGTGGAGGAGCCCTAAGCCCGAAGCCGAACTGAAAGCCCAAAGACGAGAGCCCTAAGCCCGCTGCTCAGGCTAAGCCAATTAAATTAGACGTCGGACTGTTAACTGTTGCATATCTTTGGGGGCTTCTCTGGGGAACGGATCGCGGGCATCATGGGTTAACAATAGGAATGGGGGTTAAGCGAATGGGCCAGTCAGAGCCAATTGCCTGGCGTAATTTCGCCAACATCGCGGATTAAATAAAAGCAATTCGTTTTTAATTTCTGACAGTCGACTGACTCGCTGGGCTGATAATCAAATTATTTTGGCGAAAGAAAATTGTGGCAGTTCTAAAACACATTATTTTAACCATAAATAAATTTATGTGTGCAGTGCGAACAATTTTGTATTTTTAGAATTTTTATTTAAGGTGAAATTCTATAGAAAATATATTATTGTGAAAAATATATTCCTGGAAAACATTTAGTTCCTAGGAATTCCATTGAAAATATATTACTCTCAAAAATATATTCCTAGAAATCACTTAGTTCCTAAGAGAATTTTTTTTGCAAGCACTGTATAAATTTTTGGGAAACTTTCGACATTTTCCCGCAGATTGATTGCAATTTTAGTTCGACTTTTCCGCTTGCCTTTTAATAGTTCTAAAAAAAAAATGCGGCTCCCAATGGTAACGAATTTTAGTCATTTGCAAGTTTCTGGGGGAAATCTTCAGTTGATTGAAGTTTCCGCGGGGCAAGTCATTCTGCTCAGTTTTTCCTCAATCCTTTTTGGGTTTTCCGCCCTCTAAGATGGGCTTTCCTCCAAGGGCGACTTCCTGCTCATTCTTTTGTGGGCTTTCCCCCGGCCAAAGAATTTCCCTTGCTTTTCACGGTTAAATGTCGCATGCTTCCCATTCCTTGGCGGATTTTCCTCGACGTCTGCTATTCGTTTCTAAGCCTGCCTTTATCTAGCTTAAATTTGCTTTTAAATAAACGTAAATGCTCTAAAGTTTGTAAAGGTAAACACATAAATTCCCCAATGAATGTAATAAATTCCATCATTTATATACATTTATTTATTTATCACAAAACTGGTCACGTTTTTAGTTGAAAGTAGTTTTCCTTTTTGGTAGTGCGTGGAAAATCAGCGGAAAAGTTTAACTTAAAAGTGAGCTTTTCCCTTCGGAGATCTCCCAAAATTAGACTACATTTTGCTAGCGTTTAATTGTGTGCCATTCGTGGATGGTTTCCAAATCAGCTACCTTCGCTGCGATGGGATAGTTGGCCAAAGTGTTTACCCCACTCTCTGCCTTCTCTGCTTTCTCCACTTTCCCCCATCCAAACTACAGAATGTGCTTCCGAATCTCCCGCTGCTCCTGCTCCATTCGCGTGTTACTTTCACCACCAGAGACTCCCCAAAGTGGAGTACATGCTTCCTCAATTATGCCATCACCACAGCAACCAAGTGCTCTTGCCCCACTATTCGCCCCCTTCCCATTTACAAAAACATTCTGTAGCTCGTCAAACTCGAACAGACAACGTCGAGTTTCATAAAATTCATTAAGTATCTTAAATATGCATGAACATAATTTGGCCGTGCAACTGCCGGCGAGGACAAGCTGCTGTCCTCTTAATTGAAAGTGAATTAAACGCACAGAATAGCCCCGAGGATTTTTAGTGAAGCATTTTAAAAACTCCCACTTATCTTAGGAAATGTGTCCTAAAATCGTATAATAATTCAAAGTGTTACAAGTGTTTGTTTTAAGTTATAGTACAATATTTATTTATATTTTTAAAAATGTTAAAAGTCCTAAAATCCTAAAAAATTCCTACTTATCTGTAGAAAATTATAAAAATGTTAAAAGTCCTAAGATTTAAATAAGTTCGCACATATTCTAGAAAACCTCATTAGCAGAAAAAAAATTCAAAATCTTGTAAAAAGGCTAAAAGTTTCTCTCAGTGATTACAACCTTTGGTTATTGTACATTATTGCCTAATCCATAATTGGTCAAACAAAATTGCCAAAAGTTGGCAGTCGTTAGGATCAGATATATGTGCAATGCACATATACATAGCGAATTCAGTGGAGAGTTTGGAGTATAAAGATTCGAGACAAAGGAGATTTCCCCGACTGCTGGTTGGGTTTTCCCTGCGCTCGCCAAAGTTTCACCTACTCAGTTTTCTTTGGCACACACTTTTTCCCACATTTTCTGTTGCCACTTGTTGAGAGTCGTTAATTTATGATGATTGCGTAAAGAAAACTTCGGACCGGCATGGCAAACTTTACATCGTATCCCCCTTTTTTCCATTTTCCATTTTTCTGTGTATTATTTTATCTAGGCCCCTGTTTTGGGGTTGTCAAGGTTTTTCGGTTTTTCGGTTTTCGGGGCGGGCGGAATTTTCACAGTTTGCGATTTTGCGAATCGACACGTGTTGGGTTCTCCCATTTTCTCAATTTTCCAGCTTCTATCGAGCCGCAATTTATTTCGCCCGCAACTTTTTCGCTTTGTAAACAGTTGCAACAAATAAAAGGATGTCGTCGTGTAGGACATCAAAAAGGGGGTTCGATTTAGGGAAGGCGTTTTCTTTGCTTATTTTCTTAGAGAATTTAAAAATCTCCTCGCATTCAACGTGCTTATTTTTGTAAGCAGCATCTTAATATTTCTTATATTTCTACAAAATAGAATAGTGGTGCGACATTTTTTATTTCCCCTGCGTACGCCTCTGAAAATACCACATTAAAAGAGGGGATAATGGGGTTTGAGTCGTGCATTCGGAGGCATCTGTGCAGAAACCTGCAGATAATGCAAAACAGAACAATATAAACAGGGGGTGGCGGTGGTCCTGCGGTCGGGAAATGGAAAGTGGAAAATAGAAAAGTGCTGCCGGAGGTTCGTTGACAATGGCGAATGGAGACAGGGGGACAGACAGCGATTCTAGACAGCTTTGTTAGCACTTGAGACGTCGTTAGACAGCGGCCAAAAGTAACAATAAAAACAACAGTCAAGTCGAGGAAAAGCGACGGAAGACATCGTTCAATTTTTAGGAAAATAAATATATAAATATTTTATTATATTTCCGAAGATTTTTGAAAAGTACAAATGCAATCTTGTTGTGCTTATTAATACCTGTCGAAATGTAAAAGTTTTTTTTTTAAATCGGACTATTCATTAAAAAGTTATGAGCTCACTATAGCTTTATCTCTTGTTTTAAAATATTTTTGTTAGGAATCAGATGCGAGATAAAGTAAATATAATAAAATGCCCTTATAAAGAATTCATGACAAGTGCGAGGACTCGAAGCTAGGAAAAATAAAAGCGAATCATTTGCAGAAAGTGGGCTATGAAGTTGTGAAGGAGTATGAATCTCAAAGCAAACAGTATCCTTCGAGCCAGGAGATAAAGACGCAGATTACGGACGCACGAGACTGAGAGTGTGTGTGTGAGCCAAAGGACATTTTGACCCAATTGCCGAACAGTTAAGACCCGGAGCAGACACAAAAAGAGATGGCAGGATGGCAGGATGGGAGCTTCAAATACACTCGCTTTGGAATGGAATGGAAACCATAAAGCCAAGTGAGACAAAGTGAAAACCACTTGAGACAGATTTAGATTACATACCATGCATATCCAATTTATACACCATATACATACGTATATATATTATATTCATATTGGTTCTTTGGTCCTTTTAGTGGCTAATTAGGACATAAATCAGAGCGGCAGGCACAAACTTTAATTGGCAATAATATTTATTCGTTATGGCAACTGTCACGCCCCCTGTTCATCGGCCGGAAAATCCCAAAAATGTCCTAGCATTTTTCGAGTGGCCAGGAAAATAAGTGGCATTTTTATTTGGCCAACAAATTGCCCGGCATTTACAAATAAATTTCGTTCAGTCAGCCAAAGAGTTTCATTTTATTTGTCTGTGCTTGTTTGCCATTTATTACTTGGTAATTGTGTCAATACTTATTGGGTTTTTAAATTCAGATGAAATACGAAATAAAGTAAGTGATCAAAGAATCCCGTTCAATACAAATGCGTAATAATTCCCATGAAATATTCATCAGCTAATCCGGAAAGGTCAAAGAAATCATCGCTTTGAGCTTCGGTTTCTTTTGAAAAGCACCACAAGTTGCCGTGCAAAGCTTGGCAATTTGTTTACTGCTGATGGCCGTGTCACCTGCTTACATGCATAAAATGTGTAGCTGCCACATTTGGTTTTGCCGTCACACAGAAAGAAAAAAGTGGCAAAAGATCAGAGTTATTAATATCATTTTGATATGAATGAAGATAATTTGTATCTTATTTTACAATATTTGTTCAAAAAATACTGAATTTGATATTATTACAGTATTTTTAAACTTTTAAGAAATGATAAAATATCAAGTTGATATGTTTAAATCATTTGAAATTATTTGACATTAATCATATCGGCTTTTTATTGATATGAAATAAGGTAGAAATGACTGTTGGGCCACTATTGAATCTCGAGATAAACATGAATGTAATTTTGAAGTATTGATCTTTCTTGAAGTGTATTGATCTAATTTGTTAACCTAAGCTGCGCTCTCAGTGGTAAAGATTTAGTTCACGCTCTCATGTAATTCACCACACTGGCCACGAAGGCTATTATACGACGTAAGAATAAAGAGTTCAATTTTGGTACTGCGACAAGACGGTTGTATTTGCTTCACTAACTTAACTATCCCCCCGACTCCCTAGAGTCTCATGTGGGTCAGGAAAACGCTCCTGCTCCATCAAACATTTTGGCGCCCAACGTGGGGCTGGATAGTTAATTTAAAAAATTTAAAAATCCTTAGTGTTCAAATCAACCCGATCGCCCAAAGTTAATTCCGTAGCCGCGCATTGTTACGTTACGAATCGCGCTACTTCATAAGTGTCACGCTGCTCGCCGTTCACCTTACGACACACGCACACTTGCATCCGTAGACACGGCAGTACACCCCCCATACACCATCGTTGGAAGGCGCGGGTTGCTCAGAAGATCTGGATTACGCTACGCTGTTCCCAGTCAGCTACGCCACCTATATTCTCGATTGCGGAGCCGAATCTCCATCGCCCCGTCGACAATATCATCTCTAACCTGGAAAACCGTTTCGCTGGACGACGTAACGCCACAACGGTAAGGTTACGTCATCAGTGCCAACGCCGCCAGAGCGCTCACGCCAATCGCTGAGTCTCCTTTGGTCTCATTCCGCCGTCACTGCAGTGCTTTCGGTTTTAACCTGCAAGTCCACTGTACACGCATACAGTCACCACGAGTGCCAATAGCAGTCACCGCGCAACGCACCAACCTGGAACTGGTTCATTACGGAACCAGAGCGTTGCCAGATATTCGACTACATAAGTTGGCAGCATACGTTTATAACCACACACCAGAAGCTCTAATTTATAATTACATACACTTTACAAGGGCTTATTGCAAGTGATCCACAACGCTGGACGTATTAAAACAGAAGCGATCCAACATACGCAGGAGCATTTCCCGCATTGGAACAGCAGTCGCCAAGACGGAAAAGGTTGAGAAGCCAAATGCCGCGCTGACGCCAGCCGAACTCACGTGTCGGCAAACTATTTTGGAGGCATATTTCAAACAAATCATGGCCGTCCAAACCGAAATCGAGGCACTCGACTCAACAGAGGAACAGCTAAACTACCGGGCCGAGCTGGAAGATATGTTCATCGCTATAAAGGTCACCATAAAGGATCAGCTTGGAGACGACGTGCACAATTCTACGCCGCTTGCCCACGACACGCTCCTCAGGCCTGGACCACCATCATCTCTCAAGCTGCCAACTCTTGCGCTCCCGACCTTTGCTGGCGAGTACTCGGAATACAAAAACTTTATTACTACGTTCCAGCAAGTTGTAGACCAGCAGGAAGCGCTATCGTCGATCGAGAAGTTTAATCACCTCATAAACTGTCTCAGAGGCGCCGCCTTAGAAACCATCAAGGCGTTTCAAGTCACTCCAGAGAATTACACCAAGGCCTTACTTCGCCTAAAGAGCAGGTACGATAACCCCACCATCGTATTCCTGGACAACATAGCGTCACTCTTCAAATTGCCAACTGTGACCACTGAAAATAGTGTACAGTTGCGCAGCCTGGTTGACAACGCATCAGCGTTGTTCAACTCGATGCGATCTTTAGGATCCGAAGCGCAGATAGCTCAAGCGATGTTAATTACTATTGTCATGGAAAAGGTAGACAAGAGAACTCGACAGCTCTGGAATGAATCTCTCACGTTCGCCACATTACCCTCTTGGAATGCCTGCTTAACCTTGATTGAGCGGCACTGTCAACACTTGGAGTCCTCAATACATCACTTCGGCAATACGAATACGGCTCAAAATACATCTGGCAGAATGCGGCAACCGCAAGCCACATGGGCCACAGCTTTACGTGCCCACCAAACGTGCCATATGCTCCGGCAGGGATCATCGGATTTTCAGATGTCCGCGACTTCAAAACATGACGCCTGCCCAACGCCTAGAAGCTGTCCGGACAAAATCGCTGTGCACAAACTGCCTAGGAAAGGCTCATCATCCATCAAACTGTCCATCTTCAAATAGGTGCAGAATATGCTCCCGGCTGCATCACACTATGCTTCACTTCGATCCGTCAGGACAGGAATCAAGGAGTCCTCGACGGCCAAGTCCGCCTAACGCGCCACCTCAGCACCATGTCGCTGAGGCCGTCACTCACGCACACGTGGATACCCACCACGACCAAGTCATTCTGGCTACAGCCATAATCCTAGTGCAGGATGCTGTGGGCAACTACGTACCAGGACGTGCCCTACTGGACTCGTGCTCCCAAGTTAACTTCATGTCCGAAGACTTCGCTTAACAACTTCGTTTGCCCCGAAGCAAGGGACACATCGACATTCGAAGCATCGGCGATTCTTTCACCCGCATCAAGCATCGCACTTCGACCGTTGTCAAGTCACGATTCGGTGATGCAGAGTTACCCGTCGAATGCTGTATAACCTCGAGAATCGCCTATCAACCTGATGCAGAAATCGACATTTCATCATGGAACCTCCCAGACAACGCTCCACTGGCTGATGAGAGATTTTATCAGTCTCGCCATATCGACCTACTTCTTGGCACGAAAACGTTCTTCACCGCTTTGTCTATTGGCCAAATTAAGTTGGGCCCCCATCTCCCCATGTTGCAAAAGACGATCTTTGGATGGGTAGTATCAGGGCGCACTGGCAATCAAGGCCATGCCGCCCAAGCCCACAGTTTCCTTTCATCAGAGGATTCAATAAACCTGAACTTGGAGCGCTTATGGCGCATAGAGGAAATTTCTACTACGCCATTAACACTTACTCCAGCGCAAGCTAAATGCGAATCGATCTTCCAAAAATCTGTCTGTCAGGTAGCGGATGGAAGACTGATGGTTCAACTGCCTTTCAAGGATGACCCTAATCTGTTGGGGAGGTCTCTTGAAACAGCACGGCTAAGATTTGCATCGTTGGAACGTCGCTTAAGCCGAAACGCGAATTTGCGAGCCGAATACACAAAATTCATGGATGAATATGAGCGCTTGGGTCACATGGAATTAGTAACCAGTCCACTCCTCAACGAACCCCACTACTACATACCACACCACTGCGTGTTTAAGCTCAACAGCACGTCAACGAAACTAAGGGTAGTCTTTGACGCCTCGTGCCCGACAAGCACCTACAAGTCCCTAAACGACATCCTTCTAGTTGGACCCACGATTCAACCAGACTTGTTTACACTCTTACTAAGGTTCCGGACTCATCGTTATGTAATAACTGCTGACGTCGTCAAGATGTACCGGCAGGTATTAATCGACCCAGCGCATCGTAAATTTCAGTACATCCTATGGAGAAGCCACATCGACCAGGAGATTCGCACATACCAGCTGAACACCGTTACCTACGGCACCGCATCAGCGCCGTATCTAGCAATTCGCAGCCTGTCTCACCTCGCCGATCAACATGCAAGTTCACATCAAATTGGAGCTGAAGCCATAAAATCGTGTTTTTATGTGGATGACTTTCTCGGTGGAGCAGATACGTTAGATCAATTGAACCAGATTCGAACCGAAGTCATCGCTATCCTCACGGCCGGCAAGATGGAACTGGCAAAATGGCACTCCAACCATCAGGATTTCGTCAATGATACAACGGTCAAGGAGCTAAATCTCGACGACTACGCCACGACAAGCACATTGGGACTGAAGTGGGACCAACGAGAAGACGTCTTCAAATTCTCATTCAACTGCAGCACAGCTCCGGCCTCATCCCTCTTCGATTCGCTGGGACTTGTCTCGCCAGTTATTATGGTGGCAAAAATCCTTCTACAGGAAATTTGGCTTCTTCGACTACAGTGGGATGAATCAGTCCCAATGACACTCCAACAAGCGTGGCTATCGTTTGTGTCGTCGCTACAGCATTTGGACTCTCTGCTCATCCCTCGTTTCTGCCTGCAGCCCCATTCAGATGAACTACAACTTCACGGCTTCAGCGATGCTTCAATAAGGGGGTATGGATGTTGCATTTACGCAAGAACAAGGCTTGCCGATGGCCACGTGGAAGTTCATCTAATCGCCTCAAAGTCGCGTGTGGCACCAACGAAGAAGAAGACGCTGCCGCAGCTCGAGCTCTGTGGAGCGCATCTTCTAGCACGACTCTACAACCAGATAAAGGCAGCTTTTCTACAACACACGCCCGATACTTTTCTGTGGACAGATTCACAGCTAGTGTTGCATTGGATTCGACAACATTCTGCGACACTTTCTACGTTTGTCGGCAACCGGATATCCGACATCCAAGAATTCACGCCAGACTGTCATTGGAGGTTCGTTCCGACACGGCATAACCCAGCTGACATGATCTCCAGAGGATGCAACCTCGCAGAACTCACCAACTCAACATGGTTCCACGGACCTACATTTGTATCAAATCTGCCGACATTATGGCCACCTAACGTACACGGCAATCTGGACATGGCCGTCGTATCGTCAGAAAAACGCAAATCAGCATTCCTTGCATCAACACCGCCTTCCAGGAATAATGTCTTGGAAGCCCTTCACAACAAGGAATCACACCAGTCTGGCCTAAGACTGGTAGCATGGATGCTTCGATTTTGCGACAGATGTCGGAAGAAAAAACCCTTTACTACGGGGCCACTTTCCCCTCTGGAACTGCGAAGGGCCATGCTTTGCGTCGCATGGAACCTACAACAGCGATATTTCATCGAGGAAATAACTCTTTTGCAAAGGGGCGCGCCGGTTCGTAGCCATCTTAAATTCTTATCGCCCTTCTTGCAGATCACAGATGGATTCAACCTACTTCTCGTCGGAGGACGATTGGAACTCGCATCGATCCCAGACACTCACAAGCATCCCATATTGCTTCCCGCTAAGGATGTTGCTGTCGTCAACTACGTACGTCATCTACACCTGCGGAACTACCATGCTGGTCCAAAGGTCCTGGTGGGACTAATGCGGCTGGAGTTTTGGGTCGTGAATGCCCGAGATGTCGCTCGTCGTGTTGTACGCAACTGTGTCCACTGTGTGCGCTACAGGCCTAAGCTGCTGCAACAACTTATGGGCAGCCTCCCAGTCGAGAGACTTACCCTGTCAAGACCATTTGCTCGGTGTGGGATAGACTTCTGCGGGCCGGTTCATACCTATCTACGCGTTCGAGGAAAGGTGCCCGTTAAAAGCTACATCGCAATATTTGTGTGCTTCGCCACGAAGGCGGCGCACATCGAAATCGTCGGAGAACTATCAACTGATTCGTTCTTGGGTGCTCTGAAGCGGATGATCGCCAGACGTGGGCTGCCTTCAGACATTTTTTGCGACAATGCGACGAATTTTGTAGGCGCGAGCAACAAGTTGCAAGACCTGAAGGACTTTTTCTTCAGCACCAAGAACCAGCAAGACATTACATCGTACTGTACAAACGAATTTGTAACGTTCCATTTTATACCTCCTAGGGCTCCACACTTCGGCGGCCTCTGGGAGGCTGCTGTTAAAAGCGCCAAGAATCTCTTGTGCCGCACGCTCAAGGATGCACGACTAACCTTCGAGGAGCTCTCAACTGTCGCTGCTGAGACTGAGGCAATCCTAAATTCTCGCCCGCTCTCTCCACACTCATCGGATCCTAGCGATTTGGCCGTCTTAACGCCTGGTCATTTCTTAACCGGGGACTCCCTTCGAGCACTCCCAGACTGGCCTGTCAAGGATTATCAGCTCAACTGCTCTCAACGGTGGAAGCGTGTCAGCGCCATCAAGCAACACATCTGGAGGCGCTGGTCTACGGAGTATCTTCACGAGCTTCAGGCCAAATCAAACTGGACGACTGGATCTTGGAATATTGCAGTCAACGAAATGGTCCTAATCCACGAAGACCATGTCCCTCCTCATCGATGGCTGTTAGGTCGCATCGAAGCAGCTATACCAGGAAAGGACAACCATGTCCGAGTCGCTGATGTCCGGACGTCGAAAGGAATTATAAGGCGACCGATTCACAAATTGGCCCGTTTACCAATTAATTTAAAGTAACTAGGTACTTTCAATGGGGCCGGAATGTTGGGCCACTATTGAATCTCGAGATAAACATGAATGTAATTTTGAAGTATTGATCTTTCTTGAAGTGTATTGATCTAATTTGTTAACCTAAGCTGCGCTCTCAGTGGTAAAGATTTAGTTCACGCTCTCATGTAATTCACCACACTGGCCACGAAGGCTATTATACGAAGTAAGAATAAAGAGTTCAATTTTGGTACTGCGACAAGACGGTTGTATTTGCTTCACTAACTTAACTATCCCCCCGACTCCCTAGAGTCTCATGTGGGTCAGGAAAACGCTCCTGCTCCATCAAACAATGACCTTATTCCTAATCGATTTTTTGTTCTGTGCAGCAGACTTGCTTACTTCAGGAAAATCCCTAGAAAATTCCGTAAAAGTTACCCCCTTTCGAACGAAACTTTTTCCCTGCCATCGCCACATCGCAAGTCTTACAATTCATTTGGCTGCTAATTGTTTGTCGAGCGTCCTTTTTGGCAGTTCTTTAGTTGCACTCCCGAGTGGAGTTCTTTACTCAAGTTCCCCTAAAGAAAAAAAAGTGAAGGGCAATTATTTTGGAGGGTCTCTGTTTCAACAAACAAATGACAGTGCTTAAAAGAAGCATTTCTTTTTTTAGATTTTATAATTTGTTTGCCACTTGCACATAAAATATATCATTAGTCAACTGTCTCATTTCCTAAGATTTCTCTTGGGCACCCCTAAAAAATCAATCCCACTTTAAAGTCTGTTCCCCAACACGTATCCAGGAATTATTGTTCTTTTGTAAGTAATCCTCACATTTAGTTAAGCTCTTGCTGCAAGTTTTCCATTCAGAATTCATAATTCACTTGCCAAACTACCGCATAATTCACTGCAATGGTTGGTGGTGTGACATTTGCAACTTTCCCTGGCCATTTGTTTGTTTTGTTGGCTTTGCTTTTGGTTCTGGCCAAGTCCCCGTCTCCCAAAGTTCGCAATGCAGCTCACTGCCACCACATTCATTGTAGGATCTGTCTAATTAATTTTGGGTTCTCCGGGTGCTCAGCCCCCCTACAACGACCATTATTATCCAGTCCCGCTGGGAACTTACTGGCCAGTTATCATGAGCTGACATGGGGCATAAATGTTATCTGTGATTCCGGTACACAAGCATCGAATGAAATAAAACTATTTTCGAGACAGGGATGGCGGTTCGAGCAGATCCTAAAAATGAATATAACTAAATTCATAAATCCTTGTAGGAATAATCTCATGCATTCCAAAAAGATTGGTCGATATAAAATTAGAAACGGAAAATCATAGAATATAATACATAAGTTGTTTATATTTTATTGGGTGTATATTATTTAATTGTTTATAAAAATACCATAAAACATTTTTAGTACTTTTAATACTTTCATTTAAACAATATCTTTATTTTATATTTGTAAAAAATTATTTTTATTTTGATATTGAAAACTGATTGAACATAAATATTAACTTAGCATGTTTAGCTTATTTTACTAAGCTAATTTCTTTGGCATCTCTGTTAAGAGGATGAAAATGGCGTTCGGGGAACGAGGTAATGCAATTTTCCCACAAACAAACACACACACATATGCGAGTTGGAAAGTTAATTAAAACACAATGCGACGAAATTTCAAAATTTTCGAAAAGGAAACGGATAGGGGCAACCCCTAAAAATAATTTTGCTTAGGTGGAAGTGCTGGAAATTCGCGTCCTGTTCCTGGCAATTCTCTGAGCATTTTCCAGCATTTTCCGGCAGACAGCAGCGAGGTTCGCTCAGCAACTTTTGCCAAAAGTTGCAAATAATTTAAGGAAATACGCGGGGGGAGGAGAGGGGTGGTGGAAAAGCGCCGCTGAGCTGGCAAATGTCACTTAAAAAGTTTTGTTTCATTTTTGGCTGGCGAAAATCATTACTTTTTCTATTTTTCTTACCCCGCCATAGCCTACTTTTCACTGGGTTTCCCTGCGAAATTTTAATTGAAACAGACAGCGAGAGGAAAAGTGAGGAAAAGTGCATTGTCGGCATTGAAATGTGGGCGTTGGCCAAATTATATATTTTATTCAACGCACATACCCGCAAAATGTCACTCGAGATGGCACATCGAACAGGTGATTGGCAGTCGGAAAGGGCCTTCGATTGGAAAGGTCCTTCGAAAAACATGGCCCGGCACACACACATACTTATGCTTTAATTGCGTTAAGCGATTAAACAGAGAAATCAATTTGGTCTGTTGCCTCAATCACACAGAATTTGGATTAATTTCTGCAGTTTCAGGTGGGGAAATTTTAAAAAATAAAGGCTGACTGATATAATTGTAGTAAGAAATATTATTCAGATTACAGAAATAGCTCCCTCAGATTAACTTAACCAAATTAAATTGGAAAAAATAATTGTGAAGTGAAATAAAATATCGAATCAGATTAAATGGGAAAAATAATTGAAAAGTGAAAGGAATTATAGGTTTAAAAAATTCCCATAAGTATAACCAAAATTTCTGCGTAAGATTAAGTACATATTTAACTTAAATTAAGAGCCCCTTCTGGAATTCCCAGCGGACTAACCATAAATGCAGGATTATCCTTCCGGTTGCACTTGCATTGCCCCGATGACCTTCAACTTCCGGTTGGCCCCATTTTAGCCATCTTTTCTGGGGAATCCAGCTGGCTGGGACCCCTTTGACCTTGTCCACGACTGGCAGTTGGCAAGTGGCAAGATATCCTGGCAACAATGTCCTGGCATCGGTGCCTGACAGTTAGTCAGTGTCAGGCTGTGATTCCGCCGCTTTCCGCCCTTTCCTTTCCTTTCGGGCCAAAAGGATGCCGTGATTTATGCGGCCTTTTGCATATGTCGCTGCCACATGGAAAAGGACTCGGTCACGTCGAAACCGCTGCCAGGACATACAGGATACACACTGATAGGCCAGACCAGACCAGACTTTGAGCCCTTATTTATGGCCACGTTTCAGTTACGGTTTCAGTTTCAGTCAGCGTCCCCGAAAAAAATGCCAGCAGTCAACTTTAGTTTTCTATTATGAAAAAGTGCGTGTCTCGTAAACAACAAACCCATTATAATAAACAAACTCTACGCGTGCACAGAAAATATAGAAGTAGTCGTTAAAAAATGGGCAATAATTAAATTATAAAACATTTTAAATTTATTAACTAACTATTTTATACAAAATATTATTTTATAAGTTAATTGTAATATATTTCCTTTTTTTTAATTTTCTTTTCCTTTTTGTCCTATTTTTTTCCCTGTGTATATGTGTGTTTTCCCTGCCCTTTCTCATCAACACAAAGTCTGGGGAAAATGGGAAAGCCAAGTGGGAGGGCGGACAAAACTTCACATCATTTTCGCGCTGGCAAAACTTGGCCCGATGATGTTTTCTTTTTATAGCCAAACAACAAGGACAGCGAGTGACGTCAAAGTGCTGCTCAAACTGTGCGACGGCGACATCCTTTTGACTGCAAATCACTTGGCCAACAAGTTTGTCCGCAGTTAAGATGGTTAAATTAATTGATGGGGCCATTAAAATTAAGAAAGGGTTGGTATAAAACGCTTAAAATATATATAAGATTGCAGAAGTGGAGTATTTCAACTATAAGAGGACTATTTCAAGATATAAGGTAAAGAATATGTTTTATCAAGAATATATTTACTTTACCTCCACTACGTTACATATATTTTAATGAAGGCCATTAAAAAGGGTTTAATAAAGTTAGAGTATTTGAATTTGCTAATCAACTCAAGCAATTTAGGAAAAGGACAAAAAATGGCGAGGGAGTGAAAAGAAAATCTTCACGGAAAAGTCGTAGATTCATGGGTGGCGAAGGGGGGTGAGTGCGATTGGCGGGTGATATTTCCCCTGCAGTTAAGACTCTTTGTCAGCCTGATAAATGACATGTTATTGAGTGACGTTGAGCTGCTTGCAATCAGTTTGAGTTTGAGTTTGACTCGAACTGGAAAAGCAAATGCATTGTCGGTAGTTTTAAAGGAACACAAAAAATAAAAGGCTTAATGGAATATATTAGAAAAAAGGTTCTACGCTGAAATACATTTTTTTAAGTAAGGTAAATATACTACATTAAAGGAATATTTGTAAAAGCTTAAAAGAAATTCTCCATGAATCCCAAACCAATAGAGAATTTCGAAAATTAAGGACGAATATTTTATTTTGGGTAGGTGAACGGAAGATCCAAATACCAAATGATGTTCTAATAGCAAAAATAAATGGAAAATGTTTTATTTCAAGGTTAAGCTGCCATAAAATCGAAGTCCTAATGGTTTTCCAAGCATCAATAAAATTTGTTCTATAGCGAACTTGCCCTGCTGTTTAGCAAACACAATCACAATGTCTTCCAAATCCAAGGTGCTATGCCTGTTGCATTTTCCATCCGCTTTTGCCAGCCATAATAGCCCCTTGGTCCTGCGTCCTTCGTCCTTCGATGCCTGCTGTTTGCCCAACTGATTGGCGAGTGGAATGCGAAAACGCAAACAATTGCTCAGCGTCGGCAAAATATGTGTATATATATTGCTCAATAGTCGGCAGATCCGGAGGATATGCAGAGGATACGAAGGATACGGATATGGCGGATGGATTCCAGACGGATGGTCGTCACACCAAAAGCGAAATAATGAATGTTTAGCCAAATCGGCGACGGCAAACAAGAGAAATGGGTTTCTGTTTCTGTGTACAGGGAAATCCTCCAGAAATCCCCTTTAATATCCTGTTATTATTGATTTGAACAGGGAGTTTTGTTTTTAAACAAGAATAAAAGAGTATATCGACTATCATTTACCCATTACTCAGCGAAAAGAAGCAAAGAAACAGTTTAGACTGCTTGTTTTTTATTATTTGCTCATAAATTTTTAATAAATAGTCAGAATTGAAAAATTTCTTCTACATTTTGATAGGTATTAATAAACACAGCAAAATTATAAATTAATTAAATAACAATTTGTAACCTTTGCAATGTTTTAGTTTTCATTAGAGAATATTTCTATTTGTAAGCCATCTACAATTGCATTTTCACAAATTTTCCCCTGTTTTTTTTGCTCTGCTTAGAAAAAGGCAAACAGAAAATAACAGGCTTGAGGAGTAAATGGCAAAAACCAAATAAAGGGCCGAAATATTTTTTTGGTCTCGTGCTGTTTTGTTTGTTTGTTTGTTGTTCTTTTTTTTTGTGCTGGCCATGTGGAAAAGTTATGAGGCGCCACGCACACATCCTGGGGAAAAAAAGAAGCTCGAGCTCGGGCCTCAAGGATTTGACGCTCTGCTGCCTGCGAAGAATCGGAGAAAGTCTGAGAAAATCGGGTAAAAATGGGCAGAAAGACGGCCTGGCCTTGCATTAAATCGCATTTTCGCCCAATTTCCCAATAAATTCGCCAGTGGATTTGTGGCCACAGCGGAAATCTATTACTCGCTCTGCCATCATCGATTGAAATGGATCTGAATGTGAATGTGAATGGGAAACTGAGGACTTTAATCAGTGGTGCCTAATGAAAATTGAAGACCGTGTGTTTGCGAACATGGCAATAAATGCACATACATACATTCGCATTATGTCCTGTCCAACACTTGATGCATGACTCTAAAGGCCAGAAAGCCACGAGGCCAGAAGCCAGAAGCCAAAACGCAAAAACCATTTTGACCCAAATTATGTTGAGCCGAGTGGCGTTGCGGCCAAATTGAAACCCATTAACCGAAGCCAGGAGCAAATTTAGCAGCGATTGTTTAGCTTGATGGGCTTTCAGCCAGAAGGGCTTAGGTGCCAAGCTCAGCGTTCTGGAAATCCGTCATACTGAAGAACATATACACAGTTTTTATGCAAATAACAAGTAATCTAGGAAGGGAAAAGGGATCGATTTGGAATTTTATTACGAGCTCAAAAAGGTATGGCATTCCATATTTGGACTATTATTTAATAATACTAAATAATACTATGGTAAATACTACATATTTTGGGTGAAAAATCAAGATCTTGATTTTTGACAAAAATTTGATTTTTTTATAGATTTTTTGCTGTAACTTGGACAAAAACGGTCCCAAATCAAAAAGGCGCACTGTTTTGTGCAGCTTACAACCTTATAATTAATATCAGTGCACTTTGCGACTGATTTGAGAAAATTAAATTTTAACCCAATTTTCGCTTTTTTTATAAGGGGTACCATCATGTTTTTTTTTCGAAAAATGGCAAAAATTAAAAATTTTCAGGTTTAAATGACAATCGATTGGGAATTAAATTACGAGCTCTACAAGGTATAACATTCCATATTTGGATCATTATTTCCATTTTTATTACCAAAATACTAATAGAAATACTACTTTTTTTTGGGTGAAAAATCAGGATCTTGATTTTTGGTAAAAATTTGATTTTTTATTATAAATTTTTTGCTGTAGCTTGGACAAAAATAGTCCCTTTAGTCTTTTCTAACGGCCCATCCTTTCATTTTCCCAACTGATTCCCTTATCTATTATTATTGGAATTTGATGAGTTTGACATGGTTTTGTTGGGGTTTTGGCTGCGGTCTCGATTCCGATCGTTTTGCCGCAGGGCGGAGTGAGTAGGCGGTAATTAAAGCCACGCCCCGAATGAATGTGGGCTTTCATTTATGCTGATGCGAAACTCGAAGAACTCATTAGTGTGTGCGTGTTGGCCAACATTAATGAAGGACAACTCGAGGGGGCGGCGGGGACACAGCTGCTGTGCGTGGAGGTAATTTAAAATTGCATATCGCCAGACACTTGATTTTAATTTGATTTCGCCCGGCGACAATTCCGTTCAATCCGCAACCGGAAACGGCAATTAGGCTGAGTAATTTGGCTTAAATTGGTGGCCACATGGAGGGAAAATGGCCAAAACTCATATACTATTTTCACAATTTTTCATCAAAAACTATTTATTTTTTTCCAAGTTTTTTTTTTGGATTTTTTTCGGTTTTATTCCTTCTATAAAAACCTTAAATTTATCAAAAATCTAAAGAATTCATTGAAATTTGAGTACCTAAATAAAATATGGTATTTTTGTATATCCCCATTTAAAAACAAAGTTTATTAGTGATGAAAAAAATATAAATATTAAAGACAAATGAAGAATAATAAATCTTTCCACAGAAGAACAAAAACAAATCAGGCTGAAATGTGTTTAAATATATGTAAAAGAAAAGCTTGCATATATCAACACCGATGGTGATCTTTCATTCCGGCTCATTTGCAATTCAGGTTAAATCAGAGAGCAAAGAGCAAAAGGACCCCGGGCAACCGCAAATTGCATTTTCGAGCTACAATGGCCGACAGATACATTCACATCTCGACCTGCTGGCATATTCAATTTCAATTTCCATTCACATTTACATTTTACATTTCCATTTAAATGCATAAAATGCCAGCCCAAAAATCCACATTAAAGGGCAGGGCACGGGCACCTGTCCCGGAATTCCACTCTCTAAACCCCACCGAAAAATCCGTATCTAGGTCAGGCCCCCAAGCTTGTTTGGGTTTTCCCCCATTTTTTTCTGGGTTTGTGTTGCAATAAATTGCTTAAATATGAGCCCCTCCTCCACTGGACCACTGGAAGAATTTAAAAGGAAGGGGCACTTCTGGGGGCCTTGGAGTGATGAATCCAGAGCTCTGCAACTGAAAGGCTTTTGAAATGCACAAGAAGGAAATTGAGAGAACCTAATGAAGTATTTTATACAACAAGTTGATTTCTAGATTTTGAATTTTCAATAAAAGAATTTGGCTAATAAAATTGTTACAGCTATTATAAACATTTTATGAAAGGCTGGATAGTATTTTTTCCGAATAACATGCAATATTGCTAATAATAAAATGCTTATGAGCTAGTTATGAGTAATATATTTTTGGAAAAATTAATTTTACGTCAAAAAAATATTTCTAGAAACTGGGACTATTTGTTTTAAGTGCCTCAACATCATTTGTCCAATTTGCGGCTAGATTCTATCTCGTTTTTATCCTCTCCCATTTCGCATCATATTTCCATCTGCAAATTTAGCTGCTAAATCAATGCATTCCGCCTGATGACATTAATCACTTTGAAATGCGGTCAGTGGCGGGGTTTTATCCCGCTGTCATGGGGGCGGGGGGCTAAGGGGCGTGGCTAATTGCAACAGTGGAACATAAATTCTGCAAAAAGCTGACAGCTGGATGGCAAGAGGGCGAAGGATAATATTCGCAATGAAAGGGAGCAAGCATGATGATGACTTAGCACCCCTCTCGGCCGGAAATGCCCCCCTTTTTTTCAACTTCCGCTTCGGCGCGCCCAAAAAGGCGCGGAAATTCAAAGCAGCCTTCGTTGAAGAGGAAGGCCAAAGCCAAAGTTAAACAGAAAGCGGAGAACTAAACAAATAAAATGGCATAAAACTGGGTAAACAGTCGAAAGAAAAGGGTAGAGGGGATTGGGATGGCAGATGCTGTCATGCAAACAGAAATGATGTCAACAGCGTGTGCCGTCTGAAAAATCTGCATTAAAAATGTCAAAAAATTACCCAGCCAAGGTTAAAAGTTGAGAGGAGGTGGGCGTTAGATCCCAAAAGGTGTTAGAGTTCAAATTGCAGCAAATTTAAATGCAAATTTTGCGGTCAGTTGGTCACGTACTGCTCCAAAATAAATATGCATTTTAAATTAGAAACCGTTTACATATCACATTGGTTAGTAGTCTGCTTTATTTATTCAACGAAAAAGAAAAATTTGACCATTTATATGCATTAGCATGAATTAGAAAAAAAGCTAATCGGTATGATTAATTGTGAGTTAAATAAACATTAAGCATAATGAACCAATTAGCTGAAAATCAAACCATTTGAAATGATAATTATAAACATATTTATTTAGCTGTGTTATAAAATAAAATTTTAAAAAAAAGTATGTATTAATTTAATACACTCTCCTTGCCTTTAAAAATATTTAAAAGATTCTTCAAGTGCTGGGCTACATTTTATAGAAATAGTCCCATCAAATCATAAGAAAAGCTGTCCGAAAACACAGTTTCAAAGTCACGTTTTAAAGGCCAGACTGCTTGGCAGCTAGCCAAGCGCAGTTTGAGGGCCACTGGTGAGGAGCCAAGTGAAGTGAAGTGTGGTTGAATGATGTGGCCAAGTGCCAGGAGCGGTGACTAAACGATTCAAGTCAATTTCTGGCAAAACGGGGGGCCAAATGAGGAACAGGATGCGTGAGTCACCCGCCAGAGTTCGTCACAAATGGAAGAATGGGCCTTGATAAATGACTGTCGATGGCAAGAGCCACTAGAAATAATGGTTTGAGCCGAAGAGATGATTTAAATAATTTTTTATAGATTAAGGTAGACATTTTGTAGCAATAAAAACAAGCAAAATAATTTTATGACCTTTTTTCTAGCGCTTATCTTAATTCCACATATTTTTTTAAAGATAAAGAACTAATTTAGTAACGTTTTTAAAATTTTGTTCTTAACAATTGGGAATACAGAAGAAAAACTCGTTTTTGAGGTGTTATTATTGGTATATGTATTTGAACACAGCTTGTAAATTATTAAAAAAAAAAGGGAAATGGTTTATTTAAGCACTCGGTTCATTCCACAAGTTCCTGCCGTAGACTGGGATATCTATCCGTGTGTCGCTTAAATTCTCCAGCGGCGGAGCCCCAACATAAACAGCGCCCAACTGAGTCTCCGTCTGCGATTCCGCCGGCCGCTGGCACTTGATCCCAATATCCTGCACTCGCACGGGTCCATCGAACTTGACCAGATAGTAACGCACCTGCCAGCCAGCCGCCCGTGATTTGCTATCCTGCGTCATTTTGGCATGGACGCGGGGCAGGCGATTTTCGAGGGGCGAGAGATAGCAGCGTTGCGGAGCCACAATGTCCCCACGGTAGTCCCCGCAAAATAGATAGAGCTCCGAATCGTTCCGATTCAGCGCAGTCACTCGCACTACCAAATCCACGTTGCTGGCGGCCACATTCGCGCCATTGATTTTATAGGCATAGCTCAGGAGCAAAACGCCAAGGGGCAACTCGAAGTCCGTGAGGAAAAGACGAAAGGCCCGCTCGTAGTTGGTCACCAGCAGGCAGGAGCCGCCGGAGAAGGCCTCGTCGAAGTGATGCACTGCATTCCTGTCCAGCGGCACCGAAGGCTGCAGCGACTGGCGCGTCAGATTGAAGAAGGCCCCCGCATCCTCGCCAGAAGTCCTGGATCCCCGCTCGTAGTTCGCTCGTCCGGAGCCCACGCAAAAGTCCGTGAAGAAGGGCAGCCGGCAGTAGGGATGCGTGGCCAGAGTGGGCCAGATGCGCGACCACCAAGCCTCGTTTCTGGCCAGGAAGGCCGAATTCGTCTGGTCATCGCCAAGTGGGCTTTTGATACTGTACCCGAAGCGACTGAGCGTCTCGAAGGTCCAGCCAGGAGCAAAGATGCCGGCCGAGAAGCCGTTGTCCGCTACAAGCTTCATGGTCTCCAGACTCTGGAAGCCGCCCTTGCGACTCCGCCCGAAGACATCCAGTCCCATGAAGACGCGATGCCGGGGCGACTGCTCCCTTTTGGCCTGCTCAGCACTCCGCTCCAGGTGACCCTCGTCCCAGGCGTAGTTTATCAGGGTTCCATGGCTGCGCCGGAAGAACTCCACATTGCGGGAGTTGAGCTCATTCTGCCAGCGGAGTTTGCCCTCGTCCGTGACGCTGTCGTACCAAAAGACGCGTCCGTGGGGCACGCGCGACTCCGTGGCGGCGGTCAGTTCCCGCACAAAGCGGCTGGGGAAAGTAGAAAGGGGATAATTGGATTAGCAGGAAGTTAAGGCAAATTTATATTCGTTACTAATGATAAAATAGCTGATAGGAAAGCCATTATTACATTTTATATAAATAAAATTAATTTTTTATATCAAAAATATAGATTATTATCCCTGATTTAAATATGTTCGCATTCCTTTTCTTCTTTATATTATTTAAATATGAATTCTTATATTGACAGTGTATAAAAAATATGACGAACATCTAATATTTTGATTCAAATATTTTTAAATTGATTAATGGAACATAGTATGTTTTCAGATAATTTCGATTAGTGTTCCATTTCTTTATCAGTGATGTTATTTAGTGCAAAGTCCTTTTCCAAATAGTATTATTAATCCTTAAGCAACTTGAAGAAATATAAAAAATCTCTTCTTATTACAAAATATATTAAAATCTATTCCCAAGTCTGAATACATTTTTGTGCATGAAAGTTTTTCCCTCTTCTACTTGGGTAAAGTGCAACAAATCAACTTTCATCGGGTGTGAAAATAGAACAGCCAGTTTTATCTTCGACAGCTTATGATCGATTGAATTGGCAAAGCTGTTGATAAATTGGACGCTTGATATGCGACTTGAGTTTGCTTTTGAGCCACATTTGCAACGAGAGAGATGAAGGGGTTTTCATGTAAACATTTGTTTCCTGCTTTCCTGCTTTCCTGCTTTCCTACTTTCTACCGACAGCTGTTGGCTGGTGAACTTTAAAGGGATACACAAGTACTCACTAGAGATGGGGCATTTTGGGCGGGGGAACGGTGACCTCCACGTTGACCAGCCATCCCTCGAAGCCAAAGTGCCCGCAGAGGCGGGTTAGGGCCTCCACGGTCCTGCCAACGCTCTCCTCGCTGGCCAGGAAGTCGTCCAGGAGTCCAGCGGCCTCCACGATGAACGTGCCCACCACCGGAACGCCGTGACGATGGGCGGCGTTCAGCCAACCGCTGGGCGGAATGGTCACGTAGTCGTGGCTGAAGTAACAGAAGTAATCCACGGCTGACCAGTGCACGAATCGATAGTCGTCGTACTTTTCCGAGCTGTGAAAGTGCCTGCAGGGGATGGAAACAATTAGAACTTTGTACCACAGACACAGAGATTGAAAAAACCCACCGATCCTCGAGGTAATTGCCCATCATGTCGTGGCAGACGAGCAGCTCCCTGCGATTATCCTCGTTCACCAGTCGCCTTTGGCTGCCCACGTAGTCCACCTGGCGGTCCAAATAAACGGCTGCCGATCGGATTCCGGTGTCCAGGGGCTGGACATATTGCCGCCAGTCGATGTCCTTGCTTCGCACCCGGAACTCCAGCAGCTGTCGGTGGTCCTTGATCGGCTCCGCCTCCAGTTGGGCTGCAAGGGAGGGGGAGATACGAAGGCGACGCCGTTCGGACATTATTTCCAAGATCTTTTCTTAGGCGAATGCGAACCGCTCGAGGGTTCCGTTGACAATGGAGCATGAGAATGCGTTTCGTGTGCAGTGTTCTGTGTTCTTGATGATTTGCGCTATCAAATGGCAGTGGGTGGGTGAGAGTGAGTGGGCGGAAGGCCGAGCCACACAGGGAAAATTATTTGCATAATTTAAAATTAATTACTATGTTTGATTTGTGATATTTCCGACTATTTCGGAAAGCTTAATAAATTCTTAAACAAATAATAAGCGCTTTTGGGAGCTGTTGAATTAGAGCAAAAAGAAAAGGGATATTTAAAAATATATTATAAATTTCTAAAACGCATTACTTACCCTTTTAAAGGCACTTGAAAGTATTGTTCAACAGTTTTGTGATTTTCAATTTTCACCCCTTTTTCCCATTGACCATTTTCCGGATGAACACTTAAAGTTTTTCAATTTTCGCACTCGGCACTTAAACCGCTGAATGTGTCATGGTCAAAAGCTTTCGAGCTCTCGAGTTTTTATTTCCGCCAGATAAATTTAAATGCGATTACATGCAACTACTATTTAAATTGTGTTTGCATTAACAAACAAAAATATCCATAATACAAGCAAACTATTTTTTAGATAAGAAATATTTTTTTCAAAGCCTAACTATAGAAATGCTTAATAAATAACAAAAGGGTCTTCATACGGGAATAATTTGGCAATCAATAAGGTATACAAATATTTTCGCAAGTTTTCCGGCTTTCTCGAGAAAAAGGCAGATACTGTGGAAAAAATATGCCATCTTAATGAGCTGGTAGCTAACCAGAAAAGAATCCCCCTGTGCTGCCAGTTAATCAGGGGGGTTTAAGGCAGTGAAGATAGCCAGCTGGCGCTTTTCAATTAGCCAAACGCCGCCGGCAACGTCAACTGCACTTAATGCGCGGTTAAATTATGGCCGAAACGCTTTATTTTCATTACCTCGCTTTATTGCAAAGGAGTTTTCTCCTTAAAGTTCGCCCCGGAAAATGCGGGAAAGCAAATAACTCAGTTATCGCCCTTATCGCTAGGCAACTTCTTGCCCAATTTTTGGTACGTGAGTTCGCAGCAAAATTGCATTCGTTGTCTGCCATTTTTTGCCATGAATTATTCAAGTCGAAAACCGAGTTAAAGCCACTTCACTAACGGGTTTTGGGCTTTTGGGCCTGGTCAAAAGCGACCTTCGCACTCATTTCGATTGCAGTTGCAGTTTGTGAATGTGCAGCTATGGAATCGCAAGGACTCTCTGTTTCCTGTTGTGTTTGCTGCTGCACTGCGAGAAAATGTGGCAAGCAAAAATATTCCAAAAAATACCGGTACCATTCATAAAAAATTTAAGATTGTTTGGAAAAATATAGGCCAGTAATTAAAGGGGTTTTGGGGTAGTAATTATAAATATTACGAAATATTTCAAAAAAAATTAATTAATAAAATATAAAGTAAAATCGCTTGATCTTCACTCAAAAAAAATATAGAAAAACTTAAAAACCTTAATTATAATTATTAATATGGGATTTATAGTTGGTGGTTTTTCAAAGTGTTTTTGGGCGAAACTTTTTGCAACTGATGCAGAGACGGAGAAGGGCGAAAAGGGGCGTGGCGTTTTCATGCGATTTGTGCCTGGGCGTAACTTTAATCTATCACGGGTGCCAGGATATGCCAGGATACGCCAGGATACGCCAGGATATGGATGCTGGCCACGAACCATCGGTGCATACGAATGAGCTAAATGCCTGGACACTATCTTTGGTCAGATTTTTTGTATAAAAAGAGAGGGGAAAGGGTTCTGCCCAATCGATTCTAGATTGACATGGTCAATTGCAGATGTAGTTACTCTTAAATTGATATTTCTCTATTATTACAGTTCTCAATTTAAACAGATTAATAGCAAAATAATGGAATTAAGTAACCCTTGAAATATCACAATATATTCCTTTAAAAAAAATAAACTTTCTATTTAAAAGGGTTTCTTAATTACTTTCAGGAATTACATGTTTTAGCCAATCATGCTATACATAACAAATCGTAGTAATAGGTAATACATTACTAAATGGAACTATATATTTTCCTAACCCAATTTTCAGAAAACAAAGAACATTATTCAATTGAAAGCGATAAAACCCCCATTATTAGAATGAAGTCAGATAGTAAATAGTAATATAATGAGTAATAGGAAGCTTTTAAGATAAGAATCTTATCTCTTCAATATAATGTTTGAAGTAAAATATTATGTTTAAGAGGAAAAGAGACGGATGCAAAGGTGAAGTAAGAGTAAGAGAGATGGACTTACGGCAGCTACAGGTGTTTTTGTCCTGGCACTTTTGTTGTTTCGCTGTCTCTTTCTCGCTGGCGCTGTCTTCCGCCTTCTCTTTCTCCTCCTCCACCTTCTTTTTCTTATTGGAGACAACCGCTTCTTTTTCTTCTTCTTCTTCTGTTGCGCTGCCGGTGTTTTTGTTAATTTCACGTTCTATTTGCTTGTTTTCCATCACTTTGTTGGTGTTTTTCATATCACTAGACTCCAAATTATCCATTGCACACTTTTAAACAATTAATTTTAAGGTTTTTAACGTTAAATTTAGTATTTAAAAATAAGCAACAAATAATGTTTACGCTTTTTAGGACAGCTGATTAGTGTGGCCTTCTCTCATTATAATACTAAATACCTTTCAAACGGTCACTCTGGTGCAGTGCTGCAAAACACCAAGTTAGCCGCGAGAATTCAAATTTGAGCTTACAAGAAAAAACCAAGAGAAGCCTATTTAAAACCCAATTTTCTTTTCACTTTTTTTCCCTTTCAGCAGGAAGCTGGCGCCACCCAACGACCTTGACAACTGCGGAATGCAGGCGAAAGCACATAAATTGTAATTAAACAAGGGCAAACAAATTGAAAAAGCCGAAGGAGAAAACAAGTAGAAACATTCGAAATAGCTGCAAAAGCAACAAATAACTCGTTAAACTTTCCTGGCCAGCGAGCCAAGAAAAAGAGTGAAACAGGAGAAAAAAAGCAACGCACATTTTTATTTATTAGTTGGCCGAACTTTTCGCAAAATGCCAGCGGGTCGAGTGGCTGGCAAAGCCGGCTACTCCAATCACTACTACAACGGTGAGTTTTTCATATATTTTTTGGATTTTTCCCTTTACTATTATCTTCACTTAAAGCAGTCTTAAATATCACAACCCACTCTATTTGAATAATTTAATTGTGCCCAGCGAAGTGTAAACAAAGTGATAAGAGCAGCAATCCATTTGCATTGCAAAGGGAAAAAAACAAAGGTTTCCAATAAATATATTAATTTTGCAGTTTAAGCCTATATTTTAAAAAGAATAATAATAAATAAATTCAACATATTAACAGATTTCTTTTTTAAAGACTCTTCTGCAAAACAATCTAATTAAATATATAGAAAAACTAAAAAACGTGAAGTAGCTTATATGCAGCCAAAATGGCTTGATATAAAAATCTGAAAAAAAACCGAAATACAGAAATAATTCGGATAATTAATAAATTATTTAAATTATAATATATACATACATATATAATTTATATTAAATTCATATAAAATTTATTTATTTAATTTTCATAAAAATTCTTAGTATATAAAAAATCACAAATTAAATCAATGAAAATCCAAATTCATTACCCATTTTCCAGGCCGCTCGTATGTGGGAATCAACGAGGAGATCATGTGGGTGAGCATTGGCATGGGCGTGACCATCGTGCTCCTGATCACGATCGCCCTGTGCTACATTGCCCGCGAGAAGTGCCAAAAGCGGCAGCGGGAGTACTACGTGACCGCATAGTTGTTGTACGCGGCCTGCGAAGCGACGGAGGAGCAGGGGAATCCCCCGGATCAGGTCATGGAAATGGAAGTGGAGGGGAAACCGACTGGCGTCAGTCCCGAAGGAGGATGTCCCGAGGGGGAGGGGGGAAGTCCCAGAGGAGCAGGATCTCAGGCAGACGTCACCATCACACATTGGACTGTGGTTGACATCTGTGGCGCACGCAGCTGGGGCTGACACAACTGAATGCGACAAAAAAGAAGGAGAAACCACCAAACCAACCCATTCCACCCACCACCACCCACTAGCACCGCCCACCACAACCACAAATACCATGGAAACATGGCAACATGGAACCCACATCGCTGCCCAAGGCAGTTGAATGCGTTGAATTTTTTTTGCGTCGCCCGCGAGACTCGTTGTAAGCATATTATATTTAGAGAATGTTACTTTAATAACAAAAAAAAACAAGAAACCATGTTACTGAATTTGCCAAAAATATGAAATATATTAATATACAATATTAAAAACAACTGTTTTAAACTGGACTATTACATTATAGGTAATATAAACAGGAAATTCAAATTCTCGCGCCTTGTTATCTTTTTACATTGGTCTGGCAGCTCTGTTACCCTCGCTATGGGTAGCATTGGCCCAGAAACAGCTGTTAAACCTGCGCTTCGCTGTGACTGGCAAATCAAGAAGCAGAGACGCGCACGTTTTATTTTATTTACAAAATTTACATTTAATTTCCACCGATTTTTAGCCACAAATGCTGCAAAATGGTGGATAATATAACGCTGAATGTAAATGTTGGGCCGACGGCCCAGAAAAAAGCACAAGTAAGTGAAGGTCGCTCTGTGAAACAATCGATTTAATGAAATGTTTATTAAAAATCAGCAGTTGCCTTCGAAAGCGGTTAAAAAACGTGGACAAAAATCGGAGAATTTCGACTTTCAATTCAATGCGGAGAAGCCGAAAGTCAAGGCAATTGTGGTGCGAAGAAGGGCGGTTTCGACAGCCTCAAAAGCTACGAATCCTACTTCAAAACAAGTGCCCTCAGTTTCCACCGCGAATTCTTCAGATTCTTCTACTAAAAAAGATGATTTATCCAGCTCCGATCTTATGTTCAATATTACGCCCTCGAAATCAGCTGAAAAAATCACTTCAGGCGACGATTTCATGCTGAATGTGACCACCAAACCGGTGGTCACCCAGAAAGCGAAGCCAAAAATCACTAGAGCCGAGCGATTGGGCAAGAAACAGCGGCAGGGGAAGCCCCTGGCGAAGCTCAGCGATGAGCAGCTCACGAAGGCATTGAAAAACCACCGAAAGCCGCAGAATCCCAATCAAATGCCGCGGGCAGGCGACATTTTCCGGGCCCAAATGGAAGAGGAGAGGCGGAAAAGAAGGCAGGAGGAAGCTGGAGAGGATGAGGAGCCAGGAGAACCAGCATCCGCTAAGAAAGCCACATCATCTGAAAAGGAATCCCCCAAATCCCTGGAGGAATCATCCAAATCCGACGAAGAAACCCCAGTAGAAGCCCAAAAACCCAGCAAAAAGCAAGGAGAAACCCCTGTAAATCGCTTTCGCACCAAGAAGATCGGCCTCTTCGACCAGAGCGACGTGGAGGCCCTCAAGCAGCTGGGCCAGCGGGCGGTGAAGCCCGTCAAGGAGACCATCTTCACGGGCACGAAGATATCCACCCTGGGACTGCATCCCCATGCGGTGAAAAATTTAGAGGACCTGCTGAGCATCCGTGAGCTGACCAGCGTGCAGCAGAAGGCGATACCCGAGGTGCTGCAGGGCAGGGATGTGCTGGTGCGTTCGCAAACGGGCTCTGGAAAGACTCTGGCCTACGCTCTGCCGCTGGTAGAACTCCTGCAAAAGCAGGAGCCCAAGATTCAGCGCAAGGACGGCGTGCTGGCCCTGGTTATCGTGCCCACGCGGGAGCTCGTGATCCAGACGTACGAACTCATCCAGAAGCTGGTCAAACCCTTCACCTGGATCGTGCCCGGCTCTTTGCTGGGCGGCGAGAGCCGGAAGAGCGAAAAGGCGCGCCTGCGCAAGGGCATCAACATACTGATCGGCACGCCGGGTCGTCTGGTGGATCACCTGCTGCACACCGCCAACTTCAAGCTCACGAAGCTACAGTTCCTCATCCTCGACGAGGCCGATCGCCTGCTGGAGCTGGGCTACGAGCGCGATGTCAAGCAGCTGGTGGAGGCCATCGACAAGCAGCGGGCGGAGAGCGAGCAGAAGGATGATCTTCCCCAGCTGCAGAGGATGCTGCTGAGTGCCACCTTGACTTCGCAGGTCCAACAGCTGGCGGGTTTGACCCTGAAGAATCCCCTCTACATCGACAACAGCGATGAGGCGGCCAGCTTGGCCCTGAAATCCAAGGATGGCTACCAAAAGGAGACCATTGAGGCTCTACTAGAGGTGGAGGAGGATGGACTAGGCGAATACCAGGAGGATGTGACTGGGGTGCTCAGCATTCCCGAGAATCTGCAGCTCAGCTATGTGGTGGTGCCGCCCAAGCTGCGCCTGGTGGCCCTGTCCTCGCTGCTCTCCAAGGAACTGGACGCCAGTCCCAAGCAGTTCAAGGCCATCGTCTTTATGAGCACCACGGAGATGGTGAACTTCCACCACGACATGCTGAACGAGGCGTTGACCAGGAGAGTGCTCGACGAGGAGGATGAGCAGGAGGAGGGGGATTCGGAGGACGACGGGGAGACGCCGCTGCTGCAGGGACTGCGCTTCTTCAAGTGGGTTATTATTTGAATTTTTTGTTTTATATGAATGAATTAATTCGAATTTTCAGTTTAATAGAATTGAATGAATTTGAATTTTGAGTTTAATAGAATTGAATGAATTTGAATTTCGAGTTTAGTAGAATTGAATTATTTTGAATTTTTTGTTTTATACCAATGAATTAATTAGAATTTTCAGTTTAATAGAATTGAATGAATTTGAATTTTGAGTTTAATAGAATTGAATGAATGAATGCCATGAATTCCGAAATAATTCAAACGACAATTTCTTTTGAAGAAGAAAGGGCCATAATTTTGTGATTAAATCTGCCTGAATTTTATTTACTAGGCAGTTAACATGGATTTGTTAAAAATGTTCAACTTTTTGTTCTCAAAAGAAAGCACAAAAAAATCTAGCAAATTCAAAAAATTAATACAAATTATTCATTCATTTTTTCAATTCGAAATGAATTAGAAAAACATTCAATTTATTTCACATAGAATTGAATAAAACCAATCAGAAATTTCATAGCATACTATGATAAAACAAAAATTTAATGATTCTGGGTATTCCTTCTAATCCTTGAATTTTCCTTCTTCTATAGATTGCATGGCTCCATGACTCAAACCGAGCGACAGGGCGTCTTTCGAGGATTTCGGGACTGCGCCAGCTGCGTCCTCCTGGCCACCGATGTGGTGGGTCGTGGCATCGATGTGCCGGACATTAAGCTCGTGGTGCAGTACACTCCGCCGCAGACCACCGCCGACTTTGTGCATCGCGTGGGCCGAACGGCGAGGGCGGGACGAAGGGGCAGGGCCGTGCTGTTCCTGGCGCCCAGCGAGGCGCAGTTCGTGCGGCATCTGGAGAAGAAGCGCATACGCATCCAGCAGGGCGACATGTACGCCTATCTGCAGACCCTGCTGCCCAAGGACGACGAGGCGAGGACCGTGCAGGAGGCGGCCTCCAATCTGCAGCACAAGTTCCAGACGCTGCTCGAGGATGATCGCGAGCTGCACGACAAGTCCTGCAAAGGTAGGTCTATTAATCTCTATATATTTGGTTTTATTACTGGGAGTATAAAATGTAGTCGAGAGGTTTGAAAATAATTACTTAAATTAGTCATAAAAAATCTAAAAAAAGTTTAACAAGTGACATTTGTAATTTATTTATTTAATTGAAAGTCTTTTCTGTTTTAAAAACCACTAACTTAATTTCACCCAAAAAATACTGACTTGTTTAATAGCATTTAATCTTTTAATCACGAAATTTACTTGATAGCATTGAAAACAATTCCTTGAAACGTTCAAAATAATTAAAAATATCTTAAAAAATATACTTATACTTTAAAAATCCCTAACCTTAATCAATTTAACTTAAATCAGCATTAAAACTGATTCCTTAAATAAAAACCCCTGAATTACTTTCACCTCAAGAACACTGAACACTGACTTCAATCAATACCATTTAATTGGTTGATTACCACAAGAACGGCCTTTCCGATTTTTCGTATTTAAAGCACACAGAAAGCCTTCTTCGGACGAGTTCCCATGGCGCTTACTTTTCCAATTGCCCCAACTCCGATCCCCTGGACAAACTAGCAATTTAATCCTTTCACCAAAGAACATTAACTTTGTAATTACGATTTTTTACAACACTCGGGTGGCTGAAAAAAAACGAACAGCTATCACAGATAGACAAGAAACAAACACACAAACGCTCGGCTATTTTTCCAATTATAAGTTGGTAGCACCGAGCCACGCCCCCCGCTCTTTTGACCGCCCCTTCCCCTTCTCCCCTCCGCAGCCGCAGTTATCATCCGCGTTAAAAACACAAAAATTATTTCATATTTGAAGTTAATTTCGATTGCGTGTCAACGGAATCTCCACCCACCACCCCCTGGAGCACCCAGCACCACCCAGAACCACCCACCACCCCCATGAAGTGACCACCAGCGACTTCTTTCATCGCCTGATCCTTTTTTTCTGCCTTCAGTCATTTCCACATTTTATTTTATTTGCTTTTCAAAACGCGGACGGGGTACCGCTACCCCTTGGAAAAATGGGCATATCATTTGTAAGGGATCTAAAAATAATATGGTCTATAAATCGAGCTAATAAACAGAATTATTAGACTACAAATTTGATATTCTATATTTTTTTGTTATTATATTTCTAATAATTAATTATTTTTGATAAATCAGTTAATCGAGTTTAAAGAGTTCTTTATTTATCTTTAGTATCACTTTCTTAAAATTAATCATTTCTGATAAATCAGTTTGAAATTTAAAAAAAAACCTATTCCTTTATATTTAATTTACACTCAAAATAATTTTACAGGGTATCTCCTTGCCTCTTGGTTAGTAACTTCCTTGCTATCCTGCTGAAATTGTAATTGCAGCGTTGGAAAAAGGCTAGAAAAAAGTTAATTAGATGTTACCAGGGTTCGAGTTCTGAAGGGTTGAGAGTGGAGTGGAGTGTTCCGAGCGATGTTTTTCCCCATTTTCCTGCGATTGAAACATAAATCGAAAAGAGGCAACCGAAATGAATCATAAATAAGGGAGTTCGGGGGGAGAACTCCTTTGATGGCTGAGCTGGCGACTCGAAACAGGAAGCGGAAACTGAGCGAAATATCGCAAAACAATGGCAAAACAGCAAGATAACTAAAGGATAAAGGATGAAGGATACAGGAGAGGGGATATATGTAGAGAGTCGGTCAAAATGGCAACGCAAATTGCACTTAAGCGCCGAGTCAAGCGTCAAGACAGGAAGCCACTTGGCAAAACTTGAGAGCAGAGCAGCCAAAATGCCGAAATACTCCAGAATGCGAGCGAAAGAGACGGCTATGGGCGAGACGAAAGAGACGGCAATAGGCGATATGATGATACACCCGGAATCGGAATTGGAATCCTGGAGGATGCAGTTCTCCGCTGCTCCTTCTGCTCCTCCTGCTCTGCTGCGTCCAATCAAAAAGCCATTAAAAAGTATTACGCTTGAACAAAACTGTACAAAGCAGCAGATAAAAGAGACAGCAAATCGGGTAGGGAATGGGCGAGTGAAAGAGACGGGTAGAGGGCGGGGAAAGAGAGAGAAGAACATCTGCGACTTGCATTGCATCGGTAATTGAAACAATTTTCAACTCGCAATTCACTTTTTGTCTTTTTAAAGTTTCTGTAGTTCGTGCTACAGTGCGTTTCACGGCTGTAAGACAATGGTTATTTTTCTTTCAATATTTATTAGCATTTTGAAGTCATATTTTAAGTGAAATTAGCTGACTTACTTGCTTGTATATTGTTTTTTATTTGATACTAAAGATCCGATTATTATTAAAGAATAACTAAATTTCAGTCCAATCATATTATATCTCTCTGTCGAAGAACATCTGTTTTTAAATGCAGGACAATCCGCTGACACGCACTCTGATCCTCATAGTTCCCCTGTTGACTTACAATCATTTTTGGCGCATTTAATGGTATATTTTCGCCGGCTTATTCCAGCCATTGTTCGAAAGAAGCAAAAAGAGTTCTACTAATGCCCTTCGCAACTAAGCCCCTGAATGGCCCATAAGTCCCCCCCGCATATCCGATGGTGAGGAAAATCCAAGCCGGGGGTTGTGAAATGCGAAATGCGAAATGGCAAATGGAACTGCAAATGGGTGGACTGAAAAACAATCACAACAATTTGCCACGCCTACACAAAAACCGCATGGACACGCGCCCAAGGAACAACCACAAAATCCACCCACTACCGAAAATCCCGGGAATCCAGAGAAAACCAAAAACCACCGAGACAATGGCATAAAAAGCCATTTTGTGCGGCTTCTGCGGTGGACTCTCTACCCGAATTCTACCCCCCCGAATGACATTTATTTTATTCGCCACTTCCGGCTGGCAGACGTCTCTAAACATCCGCTGCCGTCATACTTTTTGTTTGCCTAATGTCTGCCACTTGGTCGTAATCGCATTTGCGGCAATTAAGCTGGAAGCTGGGAGCTTGACTTCGAGACTTTGGTCCTTTTGGTCCTGTTGGCAAAGGAAAAGGGACACTGGGATGCAGAAAGGACTGCTGCGAGTTAATTGCCGGGGCAGGAACGTCTTTGCATCCATCTCTGTGGGATGTGCCACACCTCCTGCTCCTCTGCTTCCTGTTTTCGGGATCTGCAGTTCATCCTGGGGCTAATCTGGAGCTGGAGGATTCGGTGTGTGTGTGCGGCTCTTCGGTAGTCAATTACCAACTCCCGGGAAAACGGAAGGGCGACTAGTTTATTAAAGCCAATTTAGTGGCCTACTAGGCGATGAATAATGCAGGCTTTTGGTTAGTAGAAAGACCATTTTATGGAGCCTTTATTTCTCAGATAAAAAAATAATGAATAATCGGTTAAATATATTAAATATTTAACTGTTTTATTTTTTAGTAAAACAGTTTTATGATTTCAGTGAAAATATTGATAAAAATGTTGTATTTTTTTTTGCTTTTTTTGCTGTAACTTGGCAAAAAATTATCCCAAAACTAAAAGACGCACTGTTTTGTTTAACTTATAACCCCAATTATCGATTCCTGTCATTATCCGACTGATTTGAGAAAATTAGTTTTTGACCCAATTTTTGCTTTTTTGATAAGGGGTACCATCATCATTTTTTGCAAAAAATGGGAAAAATTAAAAATTTTCAGGTTGAAATGCCAATCGATTGGGAATTTAATAACGAGTTCAACAAGGTATGGCATTCCATATTTGGACCATTGTTTCCATTTTTATGACCAAAATACTAACAGTAAATACTACTTTTTTTTTGGTAAAAAATCAAGATCTATATTTTTGGTAAAAATTTGATTTTTTATTATGGATTTTTGGCTGTAACTTGGTCAAAAATGGTCCCAAATCAAAAAGGCGCACTGTTTTGTGCAGCTTACGAGCTTACAATTAATATCAGTGCACTTCCCGACTGATTTGAGAAAATTAATTTTTGACCCAATTTTTGCTTTTTTAATAAGGGGTACCATCATAATTTTTTGCAAAAAATGGAAAAAATTTAAAATTTCAAGGAATACAATTTCTTGACTGCTAATCGATTGGGAATTAAAATACGAGATCAACAAGGTATGACATTCCATATTTCGACCATTATTGACTACGTTTTTGGCCTAAAATTACCGAAAAATGAAGCTTAAAACAAAGATAAGCAATAACTTTATAAAAAACATGTTATACAAATAACCATCTTTACTTTGTTCGAAACCTGTATCAATTTCTGTTGATACTCATTAGTCCTCGGAAACCTTTGATATTCTGGGACATCCTAAGGAAGGATACGCCGCTCCCCGCGAGACTCTCACTCGCATCTGTCTCGTTTCGTTTGGAAAGTGTCGTCCTTTGAGCATTTGCATTGCATTTTTCATTTCACATCACATTTACATATCCCAATCCCCACTCCACCAAACAAGAGATGCTTATCGGGGTAACAATTGCGGTCCTGAGTGGCTGCTCGGCTGCTCGACTGCTCCGTTGGTAATTTGATATCATTGTTGTATAATTTGGAATTGCCTGGCATAAGTGCTGCGTAATTAGCAAGGACATGCCCACAACAGCGAACCACAAGCGTGTATACAATATACAAAATACAATATACAATGGCTGCGATGTGAAATCCTTTGCTGACACTGCTCATTTGTCATTTTAACAAATTTATTTTGTAATGAATGCGACTCGCACACTCGCACACACATGGCACTTAAGCCAAGACATCAATTAATTCTAAAGGCATTAACATCTCCCGCTCCTCCTCTCTTCCAGCCTTTGTGTCCTGGATGAAGTTCTACTCGACGTTTCCCAAGGAGCTGAAGCCCATCTTCAATGTGCGCATCGCCCACATGGGCCACTTTGCCAAGAGTTTTGCGCTGAAGGAGGCGCCCTCCAAGTTCGCCGCCCAGCATGCCGCCCCCAAGGCGGCCCCGCCCACCAACCGACTGACCTACACGGAAAGGTATTTAGTTTATAATTATTTAGTTATTTATTTTTAAATTCTGATTCTAATGTTCTTTCTTTCCCGCAGAGATCCCGAGAAGATTCAGGCCCAGAAGCGGGCCAAGCGGCGCTTCACGACGACGGTCAGCGGGGAGGTGCGTCAGCTGCAGCAGCGGGATGGAGCGCAGGCCGGGAAGCCCGGAGCGCCGGGATCGAGGGGAGGCTTCCAGGGCGGCGGAGTGGGTCGCAGCAGCTTCATGAAGAGCCTGGGCAAGTCGAGGGCCCTGAATATGTCCGAGTTCGACAGTGGATTGCCGCCGGAGGGACCCGCCAAGCGGCGAAAGCAGGCGTAGGAGGTGGAATTCAGCTGGAGGAGATTAGAGGAGGAGGAGAACGGAGAAGGAGCACTTTGCGGCACTTTATGCGCGCCATTTTGCCTGTCCGCTGTGCCTGCTCAAGCATTTAATCGAAAAGAAAATTGCTCCATATATATATATACTATATGTACAGCCGAGTGAAAATCTAGGAAAATCTAAGAAAACCCAAGGAGATGCGCTCATAAAAGTTTCATTTTTCTCAACTTTTAAGCCCGGACGTCCTGCGGGAAAAGTTGTGGCCGCCTGCCAGCATATTTTAAGCTTTCCTTTCCTTTTTTTCGTTTCACCAACTGTTTTTCCATCTTTTTCGAATTTTTTTTTTTTGTTTTTTGATTACTCGCCGTAATATGTTCGTTCATTTTTTGTGTGGAAAATATTAGAAATCCATTTTCCGCTCACTGCAGATTCATTCAGTTCTGAAAATGTCACCAGTGGCGGCGGCAAACGGCGACGGGGGGTCAGAGGTCGGCACGTGTTGCCTTTTTATGCAACTGAAGCGCATAATTTGTTGGACAAGGCATAAATAAATATTGGATATAAACACTGTACAAACGATTATTTTTTGCCTTTCAGGACACGTGGATAAATGGGTAAATGGGGGATGTAGGGCCATGGGCGTGGGCGTATTATGGCCCTTAATTGCGGCCTCTCGATGAAAATGGGAATGGAAACGAAAGGCCCCTAATTAGACGCTCAGCGATTGATTTTTAATTAGGCCACTGGCCCACGCCCACGTCTATATGTCACTCAAAGTCAAAGTCAATCAGGCATGAACCATCGATTCCTAATTACGTGCGAGTGTCAACATATGAAATAATATTTTGGTATAAATGCGTCCATTAAAGGGAAACCCCCCTACCATTTTGGGGGTTGCTTGAAGGAAGGGAAGTGGTTCCTGTGGTGCCGAAAGACTGGATGGAAAATAAGCTATGAATAAGATAATAATATATCATATATGAAATTATGCATTAAATTTAGAGATGTAATTAAAAAAACAACGTTTACTTTAGTAATAAAGTAAATATAAATAAATATCACAACTTTTGTTAAAGATGCGATTGTCACTATTTTTTTGTCCCTTAAGAGGTGTTTTTATTTGATAAAGCTATTCCCAAAAAAACTATTTCTATTGAAAATTGCTGAAAAAAAAGGTTTATTAATAAAGTACAATTATTTAATTGTAGCGTAAAATAAGTTAAAGTGTGCAATCGTTTTCATTTTTTTGCCCGTTAAGATGTGTTTTTATTTGATAAAGATATTCCCAAAATAAAACTATTCCTATTAAAAATTCACTAAACTATAATGCCTTAATAATAAAATACAACTATTCAAAAATAGCTACTAGCTAGTAAAGTGTAAAATAGGTTAAGGTATAATATTAGATTTAGAACTACTCCACTCTGATCACCAAATGCGATTGGCGTCCACTTAGCGCCAACCAATCGCGTAACGTAACCAATACTTTGGGGAACCAAACCAACAACTAGCACGAATAATTGTCACTTAGCAGGGGGCACTCACCCCCTTCGGAAAACCCCCACAACCTATTTTCAGCTCCACCCAGTTGTCAACATTCGAGTTTTCCCTTTTCAAGAGGGCAGCACAAAAAAGCTGACAGCTGTTTTGGCTCTTACTCGATGACGGAAAATTCTCTTTCCCCCTTTTATTTCCAGCCAAAAAGGAGCTGGAAAAATAGAAAAACTGGGGAGGTTCGAGGACACAAAAAAAACATGCAACATTTGCACCTGACCAACCAACAATGGGCATTGTTAGTGCGCCACTACGACTCTATTACCACCCCCTTTTTGGACACCGGGATACCAATACCAATCGAGTGGAGGATTTTAATTTACCCTAATGCGTCTATAATTCGAGCCATTAGTGCAATCACATTAGCAATTTTCCACGGCCAACCCTTTCGTGTGAGTGAGTGAGTGAGAGAGAGGGTGGTGAAAAGCAGGAGTTGATCCAATTAGATCGGTCCCAATCAATCGAAGGGCTGACAAGGGGGATTACCAACAGATGTTGACTGTTAGCCGATTTTTGAAGACTTGTTTCTATTAATTTTCTATTTTGTCTACTATTTTATCATTTAATATTTAATGTGTCCTTAGAATTTTAATTCTCTTTTGTTCTCTCGGGCAGCTTCTTTAACTTTAATCCATTTCTGCTTCTGTTCTACGCATCCCAACATCCCAACCATCTTATTCCCATTTTTATCCATCGTCGCCCCGCGTTAAAAACCAATTAATTTCGACGCTCAACTGGGGCGATATTTCGTGGGTACTGAAAGATCATCTGTCATCTCTCGAGGATCTCTGGGATCTCGAAGATCTGGTGACCTTCCAGTGGGGCGGCTGCAGCTGCAACTGCACTGCTGCTGCAAAAAAGTCCCTAATTGTTTGCATTTGTGTTGCAATTTAGCCGAAATCGCGCCTCTTGGCCAAATTGTCTTTAAATTGGCAGTTGGCGCTGTGCGCCATAAATCCAAGCAGCACCAGTCTTCGTATTTTTCTGGTTTTTTATTCCAATTCGAGAAGTATTGCTACCCTGGAAAAATATTCACAGGGAGTGTATACTATTCCTCTAACCATTTAAGAAAAATATTAAAGAAGTAATAGTTTGATATTTTTAAAAATAAATCAAAATATTCTTTTTTCATTATAATAAAAAAATTCTTAAATATTTTCAACATATTCAGAGAATTGTTATAAAAAAAAATTCCGAAATATTTTCAGGATGTAATATCTTTAATAATTCGGGTTTCATTATTTTAAAGATTAATTCTTTGCGTTATTCTATATAAAATATATTTTTATTGTTGGGTATTTCCCCGTCTAGACTAGCATTTTCAGCAAATTTCCTTTTTATTTTGGCCAACCAGCGGAAGTACCGCTTGGTGAGTTTGCCCAGCCGCCGGCCGATCGGCCAGAACATATAGCCTCCTAATACTATGCCGAACCCGAACCATCCTGATCCCGAGAGTCACCCGTGGGGCATCGTTGGCGGTCAGCGGACCTCTGAGTATCTGAGTATCCAGTCGCAAATTATCAACAAATTAGAGTTTTCGTCGAAGGAGTCGGGCTCGCGGGTCCCGAGCCATTTGGTTTGATTTGATTTCATTTGCTCGCATGTCTCGTTGTCATTTCGGGTTTGGCTTTGAGTTTGGGATTCGTAAGATCCAAGATCCCAGATCCCAGATCCAAGATCCTTTTCGGGGTACCATTTCTCAGATGCGTTTTATGGGACGCCGCTGGTAAAGTGATTTCTTCAACGCTTTGTTAGCGCAACGGATTGATGCGGCTGTCATTAGCCGATTTCGTTTTCGTTTTCGGCCTAAACGGGTCCCAAGATATAGCCTGCTAAATGCGTTTTTAACGTGCTTTTAATTGCCAGGCCCCCCGACCTCTTCTTTCTCTCTTGCCTCGCTTCGCCGGGCAAATTAAATCAAATTGAAACTAATTAACATAAATAAATTTACACAAATCCAATCGCCATATGCCTTGTTACAGGCCTTCACACTTTCCGCTTCACTGGGTGGTTGGGTAGTTGGGTGGGTGGGTTTTGGGATTCGGATGCGGATTCGGATTTACTGGGTGACATTCGCAAGCGACAACTGTCAAATTGGACAAGTTGCATTTGCAAATAAATAGACGGGCACTCGTTCAAACGGAAACGGAAGCTGACGACCCACGAATCCTGGCAGTTTTGCCAGGGGGGTATTTTCATTTTCATTTCCAGGGGCCAGGGGCGGTGGAAAAGGGGGTTCGGGGCCGCTAGCTGTTAGCTTTGCTTCGACGCTTGCGCTTAAAGTTTTTAGGCGCTATGAAATTAATTGGATTTGCCTGTGGCGAGGCCAACCGTGCACAGTGGTGCGCAATCGCTGGTAAAACTGTCTTAAATAAAAGAAAATATATCTTTAATTTGGTATCACAAGTTTATAAAACTAAGATTATAATTTTTAATTTATTTTCTTAATATTGGATTTTGAACTATTTGAAAAGTGGATACTTATTTAATTATTTTATAGGCCCTTTAATAATACTATTTATTTCTAATATAATCTATTTATTATAGTTTATATATTTATTTTTATATTTTAGATATTTATTTATTATATTTTATTTATAACTAAATACTTTTAATTGGTGTTAAATATTTTTAAATTGCAGCAATGTACCTAAGTATCCACTTATAAATTTTGTAATAACTTGTAGACCCTTTGGAAACCCTATGAAAACTAAAAAATGCAATTTTGCTACTGAGTCTAGGCACTTTTGAAGATTCCCCCGAAACAGATCGAATGAGATCTACTGTTGCGGCCGCCTCCTTCGACCACGCGGCGTATGCGCAATGTAACCGGCTCCGATGTCACCCAAAATCCACCCAAGCCACCCACTTGCCAGTTATTTACTGCTTTATTTGCGGTCTTGTCAAAGCAATCAACACAGTCAGAGCGTGTCCTTTTTCCTACTCCTTCTCCTTTCCCCAGCCCTCAGCCCTCAGGACTCAGCCTTTTGCCTTTTGCCGGTCGGTGGTGGCCCAAAAGGTGGTGGCTTTTATTTACTTGTCTGGCGAGTCCTTGTTGGCTCCGCTGGGTTTATTTGTAGAATGATTTTTCAATAATTTATGTATGACGATGGGTGGGTGGGTGGCTTGGGTTGGGTGGCACTTGATTTAATGTGCGGGGTGTTACTTTCAACACCCTCCAATCGCAATCACAATAATAACGAATAACGAATAACGCCGAGCACTATTGACTGGAGCGCTGTGACAATGCAATTATAAATGGTGACAAAATAATTTCCGCTGCGTGATTTTTATGACAGTTGTTCACCGTACGGGTGGCATTCGCTATTCGGTATTCTGCACCACTACCCATCAGCAGAGAATTAAATCAGAATTAAATAGTTTCGGTATTCCTTGGCCTTTCAGCATTTGAGCATTTCAAATGCCAATTTAATGACCATAATTGGTTAGGATGTGGTCGATGGGTCAGGCATAATTCGAGCTCATCCTTTTCCTGTCCAGAAAGTGTATGTGTGGGTGATTCCCCGCAAGGAGCGATCCTTCTTTCAAGGGCTTCCCACAGTCAAGGCTGTGCTGTGGCATATGAAATCATAATTCCAGGGCAACGTCTCGCGAATTCATAAGA